GATATCGGAGTCAATAACCCTAATGATTGTTATAGATCAATGGTTGATTTTCTCATAACTTCCTATAATCATATTTTTAAACCCCGCAAAATAGTTAAAAAATTAAAATTAAAATTTAGTGACTGGGCAACAGTGGGTATATATAAAAGTAGGGATTCACTGTATGAATTATATAATATGAGGCAGTGGAATCACGACCCTAATTTCCATAAACGGGTACAAAATTTTTCAAAAATATTTAAAAAAGTCTGTATACATGCAAAATCTATCTACATAAGAAATAGGATTTTAAATTCTCGTAATAAAATAAAAGCTACATGGGACATCATTACCTGTATATCTGGAAGACCCAAGATATTCAGGGAACCTATAAAGCTAGTGATAGGCAATACACCCATAACTTCAGATAACGAAATTGCAAGTAGTTTTGAAAGTTATTTTTCAGAAATTGCAATTAATGGTACATGCACGTTAAAATCCTCTCCCATTGATGCAATTAATATATTAAAAAAAAATGTTACCTATTGTCGACAAACGTTTAAATTTAATCACATAGATACTAATTAATGATATTATAAAAGTTATGAATTCTATTAATCTTAAAAATACAGGAGATTTGTGGGGCATGTCCATAAAATTAATGAGTACAATAATGCCGTATATTGCACCATAATTGGCAAATATTTTTAACAAATGTATAGTTTCTGGAATATTTCCAGATCTTATGAAATTCAGTAAGATAATCCCCGTTTTCAAAAGTGGGGATAAAAATGATCCAGGAAATCACAGACCTATCTCCATATTGCCATCTCTGAGTAAAATTTTTGAAAAACTAATTTTAAATCAACTCTTAGTACATTTTAATATGAACAAAATTTTCCACAATGAGCAATATGGATTCACTAAAGGCAGATCGACAACGGATGCGGGTGTCGCACTTGTCAAGCATATTTATAACGCCTGGGAAAGGTCACAAGATGCAATAGGTGTCTTTTGCGACCTTTCAAAGGCTTTCGACTGTGTAGACCACGAAACCCTCCTTCAAAAGTTAGATTATTATGGCATTCATGACATCGCCCTCAATCTCATTGCCTCTTACCTTAATAATAGAATTCAAAAAGTATCTATAAATGATGTAAATTCCACAGGATCCCCCATGAAAATGGGTGTCCCACAAGGATCAATCTTGGGTCCATTATTATTCTTAGTGTATATAAATGATCTCCCCTTTTATGCCAGTGAGTTATGTGATGTTGTACTGTTTGCTGACGACACATCGCTCATTTTTAAGGTTGACCGAAACGTGTCGGATTATGACGACGTGAATAGTGCACTTTCGCGTATCCTCCACTGGTTTACCGTTAATAATATGGTGTTAAATGCTAAAAAAACTAAATGCCTTCTTTTTACCCTTCCCAGCGTAAGAAGGCGAAGTTTTAGCTTAACATTAAATAGCGTAACCCTTAATCCTGTTGAGTCCGCTGTATTCTTGGGAATTACAGTGGATTCAAAGCTCCAATGGAGTCCCCATCTATCATCTCTTGCGAACAGGTTAAGCTCCGCTGTTTTTGCAGTTAGGAAGGTTAGGCAGCTATCAGACATCGACACTGCCAGACTTGTTTATTTCAGTTATTTTCACAGCATCTTGTCTTACGGCATTTTGTTGTGGGGTAGTGCATCTGATATAGATTCTATATTTATTCTTCAAAAAAGAGCTGTCCGAGCAATCTACAACATCGGAGCCCGGAATACACTCAGAGACCTTTTTAAAGAGATTAATATACTCACTGTTGCGTCTCAATATATTTATTGTAATATTTTGTATGTTAAAAATAATATTAATAGTTATCTAAAGAATAGTGACAGACATAAACTAAATACTAGAAATAAGGACAAACTAACTACGCCATTGTTTCGTTTACAAAAAGTAAACAGGTCGTTCATGGGGCAAGGTGTGCGCATGTATAATAAAATCCCACAGTCGATATTAAGTCTGCCACTTGATGAATTTAAACGAAAAATTAAAAGTAAACTTATGGCTAAAGCCTATTATTCTATTGCCGAATATCTTGACGACGCCAATGTGTGGGGTTAATACTGTTGATACTCACGTAGGCTAAAACAAGACTATTGTACATGTACTATTATATTGTAAACTGATTTTTTTTTTTAAAAAGAGCAACTGTTGAGTTTCTTGCCGGTTTCTTCTCAACAGAAACTGCTTTCCGAACCGGTGGTAACTTACGAACGTGTTAATTTCTTGTAAAATTTTGACGTTTCATAAGAACGCGCAAGCGTCTATGTGAATAAAGATATTTTATTATTAAAAAAAAAAAAAAGGGGGTCCCTGTTACTAAGACCCCGCTGTCTGTATGTCTGTCTGTCTCTCCGCCTGTCACTAGGAGGTATCTCATGAACCGTGATAGTTAGACAGTTGAAATTTTCACAGATGATGTATTTCTGTTGCGGCTATAACAACAAAATACTAAAAACAGAATACTATTACAACGGATTTCAACCGTTTTTGGGTATTTATTACTTGTAGCTTTGGATTGACTTAAGATAAATTTAGCTATGGTTTCGCGTAGGTAATATGCCCTCTGTAATTTGAGAGGAACTTGCGTGTATAGGCTGTTACCTTATTTTTCAGATATTAATGAGCAGTGCCCCACTGCTGGGCAAAGGCCTCTCACATATCTTCGAAATAATTTTTTCTTTGTTATTATTTCGAAAATATGCAGGTTTCCTCACGAAGTTTCCTTCACCAGCACGTGATAAATCAGCACTTAAAGTTAAAAACTTCATTGGTGCCGGCACCGGGGATCGAACTCAGGTTGCTCGAGTACATTGAATTAAAGGCGAGCGCCCGGACACTGAGCTATCATGGCATAGCAGTTAATGCTTAAGCTAAAACGAGGTGGCAACGCATCTGCAACCCTACGGGTGTTGCAAATGTCCATTGGCGGCGGTTAACACTTAACATCAGGTGAACCGCCAGATCGCTTGCCGACTTCTCACATAAAAAAACTAAGCTTATAGTTTAAATGCATATGTTAGAATAAATTCAATTAATATTGGTTTATGGTGTTTGAAGCACAGAAAAATTACTATAAGAACAAAGTAATTGACGTTCACATGCTTTTAACCCTGCTTTGTTAATCAGGTAATTGCCCGTTATTATAAAATTAATTGTCCATGTGCGGTAATCACTTAACATAAGATGAACCGCCTACTTGCAAAATTTTCACAAAAAAATTTCACACAACACTCGTCAGAATTAACGTCCCCGTAGTTAAAACAAAATTCATAGGTTTTTTAGCGCAATTCATGTATCTAAAGGCTATAATTATATATTAGTAACGTATATTACTAGTCAGTCGAGTTAAGATAAAGGATTTCTCATAAAATCAAATTTTGTTTGTGTTTTACAATGAAATATATAATATACCGCGTGACACAACATACTAGGAAAAAAGTAAAACATTTACATCTTAAACGGTAAAACGTTGTTATGCGTGCATCCTTTGGCTTCATAATTTCCGTTGCATTTCTCATTTCCGCTTCTCAAGCATGAGGATACAGAACATGCCTGTCATCGAGAATGACATTCTTAGACGCAAAATGGCATCCGTGCGTCAACTTGAGTTGTGACTACATTTACGACCTTAAGTTCGTATAGCGTCCCGTGACAGATTAAACCGGAATTGATATAAAGTGATGACGTTTAAGCTTTCTTCAATGTAAGTAAAGTAAAGAAAGTAAAGAATCAGCCTATACATGTCCCACTGCTGGGCAAAGGCCTCCTTTGTACAGAGGGTATCAGGGTATAGTCCACCACGCGGCCCCACTGCGGATTGGCGGACTTCACATATCTTCGAAATATTTTGTTTTATTATTATTTCGAAAATATGCAGGTTTCCTCGCGAAGTTTTCCTTCACCGCTGAGCACGTGATAAGCCTGCATTTAAAATTAACAATTTCATGGTGCCGGGAATCGAATTCAGATCCCTCGAGTGTATCGCATTAAAATCTAGTGCCCGTTACAGACAGTTAGCTATCCCTGTAGGTAAAAACCTGTCATCATTTCAATCAATGGGAAAGGAATTCAATAGGGGAAAAGCCGCAGAACCTGTTAAACATTTAAAAGTCGACTTCGAAACTCGCGGCTAATGGAACTTTGATCTTTATAAACTCCCGGAGCGGGCTTACCTTTTTAACTTACTTTAATGAAAAAGAAAATTTTTAATTTCACTTTGAATACTGTACCGCGTATTTAACAACAAATACGAGTTGTTTTTGCATTATTTTTTTTATTGCATATAAATATTCTTACGAGAAATGTGGGATACATTTCTCGTAATAACTTACGATATTTAAAACCTGAACTGGACTCTTAATTTGTTAAAGGATTGGGAGACTAGTTTTCTTTTTATGTTACAAGGTGGCAAGCCAACATGATTTTAAGTGATAACCGCCACCCATAGACGCATCTGCAACGGGTTGCAGATGCCTTTCCACCTTTTAATAAAGTGATCTCCGGTCACCTCGCCAGACGAAACGTACACGTGTAACACTTCCACTTCTCGCTGGTCTTCTGTGAGGTCGTGATACATCCCGGCCGGACCTGGCCATTTGGGCAACAGAAAACTATTGGCCCAGCTAAAATTTAACAGCACCGCACAATAACCGCAGTTATGCATGGTATGTTATAACTGCAGCATGAATGGGCGGGCTCGTCCGGGTAAGTACCACGACCTCACAGAAGGCCGGCGTAAAGTGGAAGTATAATACTTTCCCGTTTCGTCTAGTGACTGAGGTGGCCGGAGCCCAATTTTCAAAAGGTCAACGCGTCTGTAACCCTAAAGTGTAGCGGATGTCCATGGGCGGCGGTATTCACTTAACATCAGGTGAAACGTCTGCTCGCTTGACAACTTTTCACATAAAAATGTTAAGCTATTGTGGTGCAAAAGGCTTGCAGTACACGAGCGATCTGTCCGCAGCTTCAACAAGCTGCTGCTGCAGAAGGAGGAGCTGGAGCAGAAGCAGCTGCACCTGCTGCAGGTGGTGGAGAGCGAGCGAACGTCGCGGTGGCAGTACGCGCAGCAGTGCGACGAGCTGAGCAGCGAAGTGAAGAAACTCCGCACGGAGGTGACTATGACGCTCTTACAGAACTCAATACTGACTCGAACCATCTGGCGTTTTGGATAGAAACTGAACTCGTCTCTTGCACCAGAGCGTCTGGGTTCGATCCCCGCTACTCGAGAAATATTGTGTGATAAACATAATGCGCTCTTACAGACCGAACTCAATGCTGATTCTAACCGACTGGCGTTGGGGATAGTGAACCCAACTCTTGTGACAGAATGTGTGGGTTCGATCCCCGCTACTGGAAATATTGTGTGATAAACATAATGTTTTTCTATTGTCTATTTATATTTAAGTACGGTTGTGCATAGTGTCAATTATAATCCTTGTTTATCGTGGTCGTTTTGTAAATATGTCTTGATATATTTATTATTCGGGTTAGCAATCGCAGTTCCTCCAGACTCCTCGCACTATAACGCTGCTGCCCGTTATTGGCCTGGCTATTTAGGGTCTGGAGAGTCGAGATGGTTATCCCGACATCCATCGCAGTGTAGGACGACCTCCCACTAGATGGAGTGACGACCTGTGCAAATGTGCGGGAAGTCGATGGATGCAGGTGGCTCAGGATCGTACTTCATGGCAGTCTATGGGGGGGAGGCCTATGTTCAGCAGTGGACTCAAACAGGCTGAAATGATATATTTATTTATTTTATGCGAGAGCCGGTGATTCACCTTTTGTTAAGCCATATGATCTTGTATTAACTGATGTTTTTGCTTTCAGTCCCGAGACTATTAAAGCTTCATCTGACGTTAGCCATATGAACAACTACTATAGTTAATAGCAGATGCGTTGCCAACCTTGTAAAAAGATGAAACGCAGAAGTAATACTCCCTCTTCACGCTGGTATTCTGTGAGGCCGTGGTACTCCTTCTGACGAGCCTGCTCGTTTGTGCAACAGTGAAAGCATATTTGATCTTTTAGAAGTCCTTTTAGAGTGACAACTTTATCGGGGAACTTGTAGCACATTTATTCGCTAAACTAAAGGAATGTAACGGCAAGCAAATATACGATGACATTACTGACGAATGAATTCACAGACGTTCCACTTAAATTTTTATTGTGGAACATTCCAGTTGATGATCGTTGATCATCATATCGTGACCTAACTACGACAGACGAGTAGGTTGGTAATGTATATTAATATCATATAGTGCTGTACAGTTGGTATATAATATGCTGTGGTAAGGGTTGAAGGAAGCATATTTTTATTAAAAATCTTAATTTCCAGTTTATAATATTAAATCTAACTGTATATATATTTAATGATTGGTTTTCAATTTCTTAATTGAGAAAATAATCCGAAACACTTAAATAAAATGATCGTAGTCTGCAGTCAACTCATGCAATGTTCTTTAAGCGTTATAAAGATAAGGAACTTGTTTCTTTGAATGCTATAAACCATCACAGAAACTTGACAGAACAGTTTGACCTTTGATTTTTTTCATATTTAATGGAACGAAATTAATAAGTTTGTCAGAAATTTTATTCGCGTAAAAGAAACCGTACAAAAAGCAGAATTATTAGGCGTCGATTTTCTTTTCGCCTCAGAACAGTCAATTGAACAAGTTATCTGCGGTGTCGTTATTGTCCATGATTTTTCTCTAAGACCTTATAAATTTTGTGTGAAAGTCTAAAGTAGACAAATAAAAAACAATAATAACTTGATATATCAAAGACACCGGAAAATAAATGTACTTTGAATATACTTTACAGTTTGTTTAATGCAAGATCGATGTAGTCGATGAAACAAAATACTGATAATAATAGACAATATAAAGTTTCACTTCCAAGGTTACACAAGGTCGTTAGTGACGATCATTAAAACAACTTCTAACTGGTATTGATTTCACGTTCATTTTGTTTATATCAATAACGGCCATGACGCACTTTAAACTTTCATCTGTAACGAAATTGATATAGTTTCGAAAAAGTTTTAATTGCTGCCTCGCTGATGAGTCGGTGTCATGTGACAGTTTTTAATGATCGATTATAAAGTAACAGACTTCTACGAATGTTTTAATGAATACACGGAACGCAATTTAGTTGTATATCAAGATAACGACATGTTGATGTATTGGGAGACGGTTAAAAAAAATTGTAAATTCAAAATATATTTATTCAAATGGACGCTTGCGCGTTCTTATCAAACGTCAAATTTTTAAACACTCTAAAGTCCATGAGCTCCGCCCCTACACTAAAAAAAGCTCCTGTCTGACTATATAGCTAATTTCCAACTATGTTTTGTCGTTTTCTTAGGTAATCAATTCTATCAGAGGTCACGACAAGTTCAAGAAAAGCTTCTGAATCGAATTTATGCCAATAGTATGGGGTGATACCATTTGTTGTCATACATATTTATAGTTTAGTTATTTAGATACCTAATAGGAGACTTACAGAAACAAATAAAAATAGAAAGGTAACATAGAGCGTTCATATATTACTGTTTCTGTTCCCGAATTAATGTCTCAGACAGAACAAATTTATTATTTATTCTAATAAAACATTATAGCAACGAAACAATTATCAACAATCAGTTATCTAGAAGACGATTTGGTAATGACGACATGATTTTAATCCAGGTGCCATTTACATACACTAGATTTTATAGCCGAGCTGATTGCATAAACCCTACAGCTGTGCGCGTATAAGAAGGAGCACGAGCCTGCCACGCGCACCGCCTCCTCAACAAGCCTGTCACCAACGGACTCCGACGACATCGATCCAGTTGAACTGCGCAAAATCAAAAAAGTCCAAGTGAGTCGTTAGAAAAATCTGCTAAATTAATAATCTGTGTCAATTATTTGTTATTATTATTTTTAGTGCCAGTCTCTACACTCGAGGTGAAAATTAAAAGCTGAAATTTTGTAGAAGACGAAGCGTCGAAGTTCTCGTACATTACACTACAAAAATTCACGTTTTAAATCTGCGCAAAATTAAAAAAGTTCAAGTGAGTCGTTAGAAAAATCTGTTAAATTGATAATCTGTGTCAGTTATTTACTATTTTCATTTTTAGTGCCATTCTCTACACTGGAGGTGAAAATTAAAATGTGAAATTTTGTAGAAGACGCGGTGTCGAAGTTTTTCGTAAATTACACTACAAACATTCACGTTTTAAATCTGCGTAAAATCAAAAAAGTCCAAGCCAGTCGATAGAAAAATCCGTTTGCATGTTAAAGATTATGCGTTACATCTTGAAATCTGTTTCTCCCGCGGAATCTTTTAGCGTTCATTAATTAAACTTTGTGTAGACGTATATTTTTAATATATTATATCCAATATTTACAGCATTAAATCTAAATTACATACTATCTAATAAACCTAGTTCACGCTAGCTGCGTTTATTAATTATAAAATTTATTTACATTTGTATACGTAACATTTATTAATTAAATTGGTTAAACTGTTATGCGATCTCCTATTTTCAATTTAAAGAATAACAATGGATCAATGAAATAGAAGAATCATTCATTGACACTATGAATGATATAGTCGTATTTTTTTTGTAAGACTAGCTGCTGCCCGAGACTACGTCTGCGTAGAATAGGCTAAAGGCGTAACATTCAGACAGAAAGACAGATACACAAAAAATATGTATATAAATTATAGCCTATGTCTTATTCTGATGTATAATCTATATTATTGTAAAGTTTCATTATAATCCATTCAGTAGTATTTGCGTGAAAGAGTAACAAACATCCATCCATACACACAAACTTTCGCATTTATAATATTAGTAAGGAGGTGCAACAAGTGCGAGTCGGACTCGCGCACAAAGGGTTCCGTACCATTATCATGTCTGTTGTATGGGAGCCCTGCTAAAATATTTCTTTATTTTGTTTTTTAGTAAAGTAAAAGTAAAGTAACAGCCTATACATGTCCCACTGCTGGGCAAAGGCCTCCTCTATACAGAGGGTATCAGGGCATAGTCCACCACGCGGCGCCACTGCGGATTGGCGGACTTCACATATTTTCGAAATATATATATATATTTTTTTGTTATTGTTTCGAAAATATGCTGGTTTCCTCACGATGTTTCCTTCACCGCGGAGCACGTGATAAGTCAGCACTTAAAGTTAAAAACTTCATTGGTGCCGGCACCGGGGATCGAACTCAGGTTGCTCGAGTATATTAAATTAAAGGCGAGCGCCCAGACACTTAGCTATCACGGCTCTTGTTTTATAGTATTTGTCTTTATAGCGGTAACAGATATACATTATCTGTGAAAATTTCAACTGACTAACTATCGCGGTTCACGAGATACAGCCTGGAGATACAAGCCTAAAAATTTATAATTATTTTCTAATTCTTATATTTCATATCGGTATTTTAAGTTACTTTTAACAAAAAGGGGGCTTTATCATTTATTTTTGGACATCGAAAACAATAACTGCCAGTAATTATTTATTCTGTACGTAGAGCTTTTTCCGGGGATGGTTGTGCCGACGTCGTTGGAAGCAAATCGTGGATCAATACATAAAGAGCCCGCATGCTGAAAGCATGAGGAAGCGGAATAGGTAAGAGATAATTAACATTGTTACACAGACAATAACATACAGAGTTTGAATCATAGGCATAGCATTGTGTAATATTTAATTATGTATATAGGCATAAAAAATATGACACGAGTCATTTGTTATTTGTGATTGAGTTATTTTTTCAATGTACTCTTTAATTGTCTGATGCTATATACAAAGATTAGTGACCTGCGCCAGCTTCGCACGGGTGCATTGTATTATACATGTAGACCTTCCTGTTGAATCACTCCATCTAGTAAAAAAAAACCGCGTCAAAATCTGTTGCGTAGTTTTAAAGATCTAAGCATACATAGGGACAGACAGACAGCGGGACCACTTTTTTTTCGTGTATATAACGTGGATTGACCTAGACGTGTAAAATGTGAGGGAAATGTGAAAATTTTAATTCTCTTAGTACTTTTTAGACATGTGATTGTTTTATCATGCGTATGTCAATAAGAATGTTTGATTGCAGTTTAGTGTTCAAAATGGTTGAAGCTGAGGAGGAGTATTTGGAGCAAATGGAAATTTTGGTAAGCCAAGAACTGCGATGGTACTACTGTTAATATTACTTTTCTCATAACAATGACACACTCATTATTTATTATTTCGTAATTAATAAAATAATAAATACGAACAGGTAACTTTTTGCGTGTCAGTGCGCAATTTATTTAATTAAATACTGTAAATAAATAGTTTTCCGATTTTCCACCCCAAAGGTGACATGCTTCCTGCGGCCATTCAAAATGGCGGCGAGTTCTAAAAAGCCACCATGCACCCACGAGGACGTCAACTCGATATTTCTGAACAGCGAAACGGTTCTGTTCCTGCATCAGATCTTCTTCAAGGGCCTCACATCCAGGATGGAGTCCTGGCCGACGCTGGTGCTAGGTGAATCTCTTGTCTGACTGTGTAGTACCAAGTTTTATAAAGTTAGAATCAAACTGATATTAACAGGATATTAACATGTTTAAGAAATTTATTAAAGAAAAACTTTATAAAACTATCAGCCTTTACATACCCCACAGTTGGGCAAAGGCCTCCTCTATGTATTCTCTATATTCGTGATAAATCAGCACTAAAAATTAACAATTTCATTGGTGCCGGCACACATGGGATCGAACTCAGGTTGCTCGAGTATATTGAATTAAAGGCGACCACCCAGACACTTAGCTATCACGGCTCTTGTTTTATAGTATTTGTCTTTATAGCGGTAACAGATATACATTATCTGTGAAAATTTCAACTGACTAACTTCGGTTCACGAGATACAGCCTGGAGATACAAGCCTAAAAATTTATAATTATTTTCTAATTCTTATATTTCATATCGGTATTTTAAGTTACTTTTAACAAAAAGGGGGCTTTATCATTTATTTTTGGACATCGAAAACAAAACTGCCAGTAATTATTTATTCTGTACGTAGAGCTTTTTCCGGGGATGGTTGTGCCGACGTCGTTGGAAGCAAATCGTGGATCAATACATAAAGAGCCCGCATGCTGAAAGCATGAGGAAGCGGAATAGGTAAGAGATAATTAACATTGTTACACAGACAATAACATACAGAGTTTGAATCATAGGCATAGCATTGTAATATTTAATTTTGTATATAGGCATAAAAAATATGACACGAGTCATTTGTTATTTGTGATTGAGTTATTTTTTCAATGTACTCTTTAATTGTCTGATGCTATATACAAAGATTAGTGACGGGTGCATTGTATTATACATGTAGACCTTCCTGTTGAATCACTCAGATCTAGTAAAAAAAAAACCGCGTCAAAATCTGTTGCGTAGTTTTAAAGATCTAAGCATACATAGGGACAGACAGACAGCGGGACCACTTTTTTTTCGTGTATATAACGTGGATTGACCTAGACGTGTAAAATGTGAGGGAAATGTGAAAATTTTAATTCTCTTAGTACTTTTTAGACATGTGATTGTTTATCATGCGTATGTCAATAAGAATGTTTGATTGCAGTTTAGTGTTCAAAATGGTTGAAGCTGAGGAGGAGTATTTGGAGCAAATGGAAATTTTGGTAAGCCAAGAACTGCGATGGTACTACTGTTAATATTACTTTTCTCATAACAATGACACACTCATTATTTATTATTTCGTAATTAATAAAATAATAAACACGAACAGGTAACTTTTTGCGTGTCACTGCGCAATTTATTTAATTAAATACTGTAAATAAATGGTTTTCCGATTTTCCACCCCTAAGGTGACATGCTTCCTGCGGCCATTCAAAATGGCGGCGAGTTCTAAAAAGCCACCGTGCACCCACGAGGACGTCAACTCGATATTTCTGAACAGCGAAACGGTTCTGTTCCTGCATCAGATCTTCTTCAAGGGCCTCACATCCAGGATGGAGTCCTGGCCGACGCTGGTGCTAGGTGAATCTCTTGTCTGACTGTGTAGTACCAAGTTTTATAAAGTTAGAATCAAACTGATATTAACAGGATATTGACATGTTTAAGAAATTTATTAAAGAAAAACTTTATAAAACTATCAGCCTTTACATATCCCACAGCTGGGCAAAGGCCTCCTCTATATATTCTCTATATTCGTGATAAATCAGCACTAAAAATTAACAATTTTATTGGTGCCGGCGCACATGGGATCGAACTCAGGTTGCTCGAGTACATTGAATTAAAGGCGAGCGCCCGGACACTGAGCTATCCGAAAAATATCAGTTAGAACCAAACTGATATTTGTCAGATTATTATAATTATATAGTATGATCTAAAGGGTCCGTTGAAATAGCGTAAAACCTAAGAAAGAAATCAAAAGTTCATCATCATCATCATCATTTCAGCCTGTTTGAGTCCACTGCTGAACATAGGCCTCCCCCACAGACTGCCATGAAGCACGATCCTGAGCCACCTGCATCCATCAAATCATCAAAAGTTACATCAATCAATATTAAATGCACTTGGTAGCTCATGATAGTGTTTGGCGTTTCTACCTACAACGTCGTCGTCACTAGCTACTTTTAAACTGTACCAGTATTATTAACAAATGACGGGTAGACCGAAGTCAGCAGTATACAATAGCATATACTTAGTAGGAGCTTGGATACAGGAGACCTATTCGACATGCTGTTGCCGATGCTGACGATATACCAGGAGTACGTCCGCAACCACCACTACTCGCTGCAAGTGCTGACGGAGTGCAAGCAGACCCAGCCCTTCGCTCAGCTATTGGCGCGGCTGGAGAGCAAGCCCGCCTGCCAGAGCCGCTCCTTGGAGACGTTCCTCACGTACCCCATGCACCAGGTGATCGGTTCGGTTATTACAGAGGCTGAGGTGTTTAGTTGCTAAATTAACTTTTATCCCTAAATGTTATTGCGTTTGATTTAGATTTAAATTACCAACACTTCGAATGATTTGCAACATTAATGGACTGGCTACCCAGTAAATTTTAGCCGCTAAATCCCATAATTAACATCAATTCTGATAAAACCTTTAGCAGGTGTGATTAAAAATGTGTAGTCATCTTGCAAGAAGTTACTAATTATAGGATCGTAGAAGTTAAGTATCTCATATTTATGTTTACACCGTTTCTCTTGATTACACGACGCAATATCTGTACCAAATGAAGCGGAAGTAACTTATAAGCTATACTTATAACAATAAATTTTATGCCATGTGCTGTGCAAATTAATAGCTTTATTTTGAATGGTTTAGATATGCTTGAATATTCAATTGCTGGATACCGTGGAAGTATTAAGATATGTATTCAAAACAGTGGGACTCGTGTGAGTTTTATTCTTAACATCTGTAACAACGTTAAGGGTCGTAGCAAGATCGAGGAATCTGGCTCTAAAAGTCTTCTAAAGACTAGTTAGTGCGAAGCATATAGACAATTGAAAACCAAACTAACAGGCGTCTACTCATGTGACTTGAAGGTTCTGTAATACTTTGCCCGTTAATGAGAACAATTTTGATCTTTGCCCATTCTCAGATACCCCGTTACATCATCACACTCCATGAGCTTTTGGCGCACACACCCCACGACCACGTGGAGCGCCGGAGTCTGCAACACGCGCGAGCCCAGTTGGAGGAGCTCTCCAGACAAATGCATGACGAGGTGAACAGGAGATGACTCCTTTTTAGCTTGGTCTAGCGTGCAGAAGGGGAGAAGGAGACAAATCTTAGTTGATTGTTAGCGTGGCGTCGGAACTTGAGTTCATAATTTTCATTGGATGACTGTAGAGAGAGAGAGAGATGCATTGGTTGACCATGAGAATTAGAGTGAGAAGGATGGCGATTTTGGATGTCTTAATTCGATGAAAGCCATTGAGAGGATCGGTGCTTGAGATACACTATGAATACTTTGCATTATATGAATCTGTATAAATAAAATGATAGAGGTCCGCCGTTGTGTGCTATAAAACTATAAAACTACTTCGAGAATTGAATTAAATATAAGTGTGGTAGAAATATTAAAATTTTAATATTTTAGAAATATTATTTCTTTTTTCTGTCTATATATATATATATATATATATTTTTTTTTTAGCGTATTTACTATTCTTATTATTTGTTTAGTACACCCTACCGCTTTCTTCTTTTAATGAATCCTCTGCCTTAAGGTTGCCTGGAAGAGATCGCTGTTTTAGCGATAAGGCCGCCTGTTGTACCCATGTGTCTTTAGTTATAAATCCTTTATTTCTGTTGGTGTACAATAAAGTATATTTTACTTTTTACTTTTACTTTAAAAAATATTGAAATTTGCAGGTCAGCGAGACTGAGAACTTGAGGAAGAATTTAGCGGTGGAGCGGATGATCATCGAGGGGTGCGATATACTCTTGGACGTGAATCAAGTGTTCATACGACAAGGTGTGTTTAATCGTTTCATATATATTTTAAATTAATTTCTCTTCTACAGACTTTATTTAGTGTGGAAAAAGGACTAAGGACAGAACTCTTCAAATACGGTTTAATATTAATCGTGTGTGCTTGATTGACACATATAAAAATTATAATAAAGAATCTACTTGAATAGACTATTAGCGATAAAAAGTTTAAAATAGTACTAAATTTTTTATAAGTTTAATATAATTGAAAATCAACCTATATAACCTAACCTATCCAACCTTTAACAGAATTTAACAGTTCATGGAGTTAAAGGACATAGAAAAAATACAGTAGTATTGAGAAGCTCCTCCTTTTATAAAATCGGTTTATTTATTTATTTATTTATTTATTAGGTCTGCCAGTAGATGTTACATTAAAAACAATATTGCATGAAACATGAATTAATTACAACTAAATGTACATCTAATTAAGAGGCAAACACAGCATGCTTAAAAATTAAAACAAAAAAAAAATAATAAAAGTTAAACGAAAAGTGTGAACAAAATATCGTTACTTATTAATTATAAATAATTAAGATTAAAAAAAGCAGATTGTAATTTTATAACGCAAGACAAAAAAGAGTAAAATCTATGAAGAAATTTAAGTCATGGTATATGGTATATGGTATTGTTTTAAATGACAAATGTTAGGTTACATACAACATCAAACAGAATACAAATGACTTATACAAATAAAAATTACTTAAATCTTAGCATTAAAATAAACTTTAAGAGCTTCTTATTTTAAGATATTTATTTTACTCCGAATTTTTTATGGTATCATCGTAGGAACCCTATCGCAAGTGGTGGGCAAGGGTCGCAGGGCATCTTTGCAGTCGCGCCAGGCGTTCCTCTTCAGCAACCACCTGCTGTTGACCACGCGGGCTACTGGAGGCCGCCTCCACCTGCCACCTAATGCAAGACTGCCCCTTCACGACGCGTTGCTGGTCGAGGATCCTTCCAACCACGATGACGATGGTAACCATCATTATCTTCACAATCTGCGTCACTAATATCATTTTATCGACATGTTCTCATCATTATTATGCTTTCATTTAGTTCACTATCAAAACAACACCACAAATTGTTTCCAAAAGCTCGTTAAAAACATAAAAGTGAAGACTTTCCAGTGATGCCTTACACAACGTAAATGACATTTAATACAGGGAGATTTTTTGAGAAGTGCCCAAATTTACACAGGAGGTTCAGACTCGGTAGTATAATCGTTTATTGAAATAAAAAACAAAGTTTTTTTTTCCAAAAAAAATGCCATTCTTTTCCCTAAAAAACAGAACGTGTTGACAATGCGGTTGTCATTCATAAATACCTAAATTTTACTGTGCACGAACTTGAGTGCGTGTTAGTTATGAATGATCGCGCGTAAAATAAATGAGTTCCCCATAAATCACGCACTTTTTGAGATAAGTTCAAATTAATGTAATTAATTAATTACGAGTGATTTTAAATATTTATAATTTTTTATATAACATTATTTATGGTCTAGAATTTAATAAAAAATGCATACATTTACAAAAGCCACCCTGTAGCCAGTCAGAAAGACTTTTTGTGTGCAAGTACAGCATGGGAGTAAAATAATTATTATATATGGTGTAGGCACTGTGTTTTTTTGTTTTCCATAGGAAGCTGAATGTTTTCGTAATATGAGATACTCGCATATTAGGAGGGACATAACTGGAAAGAGCATTTTTGATTGAAGGGATGTGTCCATTTATGAGCAGTCAGTAGGTGAATATTTGAATGTACCATTTTTTCGTTATCAAGTTACAAATCTTCAAAAGATACCCTGTCATCCCACATATGACATGTGTGGGGTTCCTACCACTAAAATACCTCTCAGTACATTTGAAACGCATCGGTGTCTCTCGGTACTGCGCCTCAAGCCTAATGAGAACGCCTCGGAGAAGGATAAACTTTCCCCGATTCCCTCACCATACTGCAACAGTTCGAGACCTCTTCGAACTGCTGCCAGTCCGTGTCCCCTTTTAGTAGCCTTTAACGATGGGCAGAGTATACCTTAGCCCTATTCTATGAGCCCGGGACTACAGGGCTGACGGGCACGTCCGCTTCTGCTGACCCGACGTCTTCGGCTCCGTGTGGGATCAGCCTTCTCCTGATCCCGGTGATCTCCTTCTGGACCATTTTAATATACTTAACATTACGTTACAGATTCGTCTTCTGTGTGCTCATCGCCCGGAGGCGACCCATACCAGGGCAAGGACTTCAAGATATTGGTCGAAGTTAAGGGGGAGCAAATCTGTGCCCACTTAGGTAAGTTCGCAATAAAAATAATTATACAGTTATCAATACTAGATAATACTTGTAGGCTTATTACATATTTCAATGCTTTCTAATTTCATGATATTTTAAAATCTCAAGAGCTTAGAAATAGTTGAGACACATTTATGATACAGTTGAAACATTAGCATGTTTTTGTGACAAAATGGTATGTTGGTAAACGTTATTGGAGTAGTCACTATCAAAGCTTGGCGTGAAATTCGAAATAATATTGCACATATTGCTTTTATATTTCACTTTTATGAAATAATGACTTGTCGCAATAAAATAATGAACAACTTTTTGGATTGAAAAGGATTTAACAACACGTTAAAGGTTTAAAAAAGAAGGCTTGGACAATCTCACTAAGAGCGCCGTAGTTAAAACTATCCTGAAACACTTCTCTATTGTCCTACTCCACGCTGCCACGTCGCAGTGGCAGTTACACTCAAGGTGAAAGTACCCATAGTAGGAGTTTGCTTAGCTTGGGAGTAGACAACGTCGGGTGCACTGTCCGGAAACATTCTTATTTGTCCTACTCCACGCTGCCACGTGGCAGTGGCGGCCACGCTCGAGGAGAAGGCGGCGTGGACGAGCTCGCTTGCCCAGTGCACAAAGAGCACAGTTGTTAAACCTGTCCTGAAATACTTCTCGATTGTTCTACTCTACCCCACCACGTGGCAGTGGCGGCCACGCTCGAGGAGAAGGCGGCGTGGACGAGCGAGCTCGCGCAGTGCATGGAGAGCGCCGCGCTGACGGAGCTGCTGCGCGCGTGCGGCTCGTGCGGCGCCGCGTCCGCCAGCCTGCCCGCGTGCCGCTCCGACCGCGCGCTCTTCACCGACGACGTCGACATCCGCTTCAGCCGCACGCTCAACTCGTGCAAGGTGCCGCAGATACGCTCCGCGACGCCGCAGCGCCTGCTGCAGCGGCTCACCGGTGCGTGCTGCTGATGCGATTGTGGGGGGGTTCTCTTTTAGCGGGCCAGGATCGGGGATAAATATAGCGCGCTAGGTAGGACTATACCGCAGTTTGTTGCTGAGCGGATAGACATGATAAGACATGATCGAATGAAGATTTTATAGAGAGAAAATATTATATTATATTTTTAAACTGTGGTAGGACCACGCATCAGCCTCGGCTGTAGCACGAATAGGCAGGTTCGTCCGGGTAAGAACCACGACCTCACAGAAGGCCGGTGTGAGCGTCACATGTTTAAGATTGTACCTAGCCGGATGTTGATTAATACGAAACTAGTGAATATAAAAGAGAGCAACCAAAAATAAGGTAAATAAAGCTTCTACCACATCCACCATACCATCATATCTCACTATGGCGGAGCTATGAAGCAGCTTCTGCTGCTGTTATACAAATCATTCATACGAATGAGCACCTCAAACAGATGCTTCAACAGCACAACAGTGTTGCTTTTCCTCGACTTGCAGATCTGCGTTTCCTCTCGGTTGACTTCTTAAACACGTTCCTACTGACTTACCGCGTGTTCACCGACGGCGTGACCGTGTTGGAAGCTCTGAAGCAGGTGTTCTACGAGCAGTCACAGCAGGAGATGGAACTGGCGCCGCCGCCGGACACCGCGAGGAAGACCAGCGCGGCAAGCACCGTCTCGGGTAAGCGAGATCTTGCAGAAATAATTATAGTAACAGTAACAAATTCCAGCAGTGCATAGCGTCTTCGAAACAGCGTCTAGAAGGAGAATGACTTTTATTTACGGGTACTGGAACTCTCATATAAAGACAAGAGCTCTCAAAAATAAAAGCGAGTTTAGAGGCTTTTTAAAATTTGAGAGCTATCGTCTTCCGTCTGTCTTTCCTTCTTCCCTTTTCCTTTCGTTTCTTTTCCTTTCTCTCTAATATTCCCCCCATTTCAAACGCCTCTACTGAAAACTTCCGCCGAGCCGAAATAATGTATGCAAAAGGTACCATTAGTTCCGTAAGTCACAATTTGGTCCCTGGCCAACCATTCTATTTGCTATTTTGTAACGCATGATGCTAATTGTAGCATCATTGCGTTACAAAATACCGTACGTAGCATCATTGCGTTACAAAAAACGTATTGACGTACAACGGGTCTGTATATGTTATTGCTTTCTACACCAAATAAGACACCATTAATGGGAGTACGGCAACGAGGCTTGGTGCATCATGTATTTCGCGTTGTTTTGAAAAAAGAACGCGAAAAACATCTGGCCATGGTATATTAGCTTGTTCCTCCATCTCTAACCCTTACTTCCTCGCTTTCATGCATGGTAGCAGTTTACGCGATTGTCATCAAAATCTTGTTTTAACCAAAACTCAAGTTTAACAAAACAGATCTCTAGATCTAAGATCTCTCTTGCTTTATTTTGTTGAATAGAAGAGCAACCTTGATAGCTTAGCTAAGTAGACAATACTATATCAACACACTATATCAACAAGGTTTGCTTTCGACAAATGCATGTGAAAAATGAACGAAAGAAACGAATGGCGCTCATTCCTCTATTAATTTATATTTATTTGGAAACTTTTAAAACACTAACGTGGAATGAAATATCAACATAATGGGACAAAACTATTTAGAGGAAAGCAAGGATTTCTCATTTCCAGGCTACGGTTCTGAGTACAGCGATCGCGACTGGCAGTCGAGGTTTTGGAAGGCGTCGAGGAAAAGTAAGAGTTTTTCTATTTATAAGTTACACATTAAGATATTAATGTTTAAATATTTATTATTATTAGATTAGTAATAAACTTTAAATTAACGAATATAATAGTGACAAGGTTCTATACAGCAATACGAACAGTTGAGATAAACGTCCGATCTAAGTGACTCCGCAACATTATCATCTTATAAGTAAACCCACCCAATCTGACGTCATAACTGATCCTTATTGTTGCCATCAATATCACTGAATTCCAGTGATCCGATATTTTTCTATGGGGTATTTTCAAAAATGTATTTTTTCCGCAGGTGAAGACGAGGACAAACTGTCTCCTTATTTAATGGCACCTTCGCGCACTTTTATTCAGACCGCAACCTTAGACAACTAACCACTCGACTCCAAAGCGCTGCCGATCGCCTCGGCGATTGGTTCCGCAAATTGAGAATAGAAATAAATCCCGAAAAGAGTGTGGCGATGCACTTCACACGAAGTACTTACCCGTCACATCTTTATAATGGCCCTCGACAATGCAGAAAGTTGGGTCAAATATCCCTTTATGGCCAACCGCTCCCGTGGGAGAAAAAGGTCAAATACTTAGGAGTCACTTTCGACTCGCGTATGTCATTTACTACGCACATTAATAACGTTCGCAATAGAGCCGCGTTCGTCTCCGGCCAGCTACACAATTTAACTAACGCTAAAAGTAAAATGCCCTTAAGGCACAAATTATTATTATATAAGACCTGCGTACGACCTATTATGTCTTACGCATACATGACCTTCGCCCACACGCACCCTACTCGCTTGTACAAGTTGCAAATAGTACAAAATAAGTTCATCCGCCGCGCAACCGGTGCGCAGTGGTATCAACGATACGTCGACCTGCACAGCGATTGCAGACTCCCGACGATTCGCGAATATTTTAAAGACCTGACCAAACGGTTCTTCGATAGAGCCGAACATCATCCCAACCCTCTGGTGGTAAGCGCAGCAAATTACCAACCCGACACAAACGCGAACGTCAACAAGCGTTGCCCGCGAAACGTCCTCATCGACCCGGTCGATGAAGGGGACTTAGATACGCCGGACCCACTGCCGGGGGTCCCGCCGGACAACACTACACCCACAGCTAGTGTAACAACAAACACAATAGTTCGCCTTCGCCTCCGAGCACGGCGAGACCAACACAACGCGTACACAAGGTACACCCGCGTTCCGGGACGGTTCTCACCGCCGCCAGCCACCGATTAGCTAATTGCACAGTCGATGGCCATCGGGGTTTCGGTCCGAACCGCGACCTCGATGGCCCTTAGATGACACACCATAGTTAAACGCACGCATGAGCACATGCGTGGCCCTACCCACAGCGGAGGGCCCAAACCCGTGGGTTCTGGCTATCCCACCGGTTCTGCGTCAGATGAAGCTCTAATAGTCTCGGGATTGAAAGCAAAAACATCAGTTAATACAAGATACAAGATACACCATTAACGAATATAATAGTGACAAGGTTCTATACAGCAATACGAACAGTTGAGATGAACGTCCGATCTAAGTGACTCCGCAACATTATCATCTTATAAGTAAACCCACCCAATCTGACGTCATAAATGATCCTTATTGTTGCCATCAATATCACTGAATTCCAGTGATCCGATATTTTTCTATGGGGTATTTTCAAAAATGTATTTTTTCCGCAGGTGAAGACGAGGACAAACTGTCTCCTTATTTAATGGCACCTTCGCGTCGCACGTCCACCGTAAGCAAGGTAAGTCAACACCAATCTATTTAAAAAAAAAAAACTATTAGTACCATGCTTACGCGGTTAATTTTCTGTCCTGTGCTAACTCACGAAGGTGGAAGAGGACAACAGTCATTTGACTATACCGAAGATAATGGCAACTTCTTCGAGCAATGAGACGCTGAAAGGTAACTAAAATTCTAGAATGTCAAAAAAGAATTTTCTTTTTATATAGTCTCATATCGTTTTAAAAAAGAGCAACTGTTGAGTTTCTTGCCGGTTTCTTCTCAACAGAAACTGATTTCCGAACCAGTGGTAACTTAAGAACGTATTAAATTTTATGTAAAATTTTGACGTTACATAAGAACGCGCAAGCGTCTATGTGAATAAATATATTTTGTTTTGATATGATTTGATAACACACTTACAACTGTTATAAGTCAGTAAAAGTCAGCTTAGATACATTTTACCCTTGCTACCCGAATTTAAATCTTTAACTTTGATTCCAAATTCAAAGGTACATCTCCTTCGTCACCCGGGGCTCTCAGCTCGGTGACCTTAGTCGGCAGCCCGAAGAAAGCGAGCCCCGATGACGCCACCGCAAAGCCCGAGAAAAATCTCCCACGAAAGACAACGACGCCGCCGCCGCCGCCATCACGAAGGTCGAGAGCATCGAACTGGTGGACCAGAGCGACGAAGACGTCAAATACAAAGAAGAGGAGCAGGAGAAGAACAAGCCCAAGCCAGAGGAGAAGTTCAAGATATCGCAGAGGTTTTCAGAGGTGCGACCGGAACGTCTTTAACACGCGTGCGAAGGCAGTTGGCAGTCTCGTTTCAAATAAAAGTACCCGGAGGACCGAGCCTTGCTCGGTTTGTTTTTTTTTTTGGTAAATCGTGTATTTTGGAAATTACATTTAGATACAAATTACTGAGTAATGAAATATGCATAATATTTTTCGATCTTACCGACGTAATAATAAGAAAATATGAACTGATGTTTTTCACAAAAGAAGAATAAAAGGGAAAAACATAACAAAATAAGAAATCGACAAAAAATTAAAAATAAAGAAAGCAATGATCTGGAATCGAAAAAAAAGTAAAAAAATAAATGTGTAAATGATCGTGACGCGAACCACGGCCGTCTGTTTTGGGGCCGCCCGATTACCGACTGAGCTATTATGACATTTTCTCTTGCGGCGAAATTTACCGTCATTCGAATTATATTTTTCATTCCCTGAAAACAGGGATAAAAGGGCATTTTCTAAAAATGAAACCTAGCTAGATCGATTTTTCGCCCCCGAATCAACGCACATACTAAATTTCATGAAAATCGCTGGAGCCGTTTCCGGGCTTCCGATTATATATATATATATATAATCGGAAGCCGGAATATATATATATATATATATATATACAAGAATTGAAGATAAAGAAGATTATTTAAACACGATACACAAGACCTGCTGGTGTGATGAACATTACGGTATAAATGTTTTTCTATGCACAACTCTGCTGGACCTCAGAGATTAAAATTTATTTTCGTAGATAGATAGATAGGTATTTATCTTATTTAATTCCACCAATGAAATTCAAATCCGTGATAAACGGGTTGGTAACGGTCTAGGATAAAATACTTCCGTAGCGTTTTTAGAGAATAAAAGTTCGAAAAGAGAGATAATTTTTGAGAACAATATCTCCTGCATCGTTTTAGAAGGGACGGCACTAGCTGATATATCGCTATCTTCTTCGCGCGTCTATTGATCGGTTTGTCGGCAGAGGGTGCGCTTTTGCATAGTTTTGTAACAGATAGTACTAGCTGGAGTAGCTCTGTCTTCTTCCCGCGGCTATTCTAGTCTTTGCCGGCGGACGGTGCGCTTCTGTATCGTCTCGAATGAGACAGCACTAGCTGGAGTGGCGCTGTCTCTTTCGCGCGTCCATCGAACCGTTTGCCGGCAGAGGGCGCGCACGATGTCGGAGAGCCCGCGCCGGCTGCAGGTGGGCGGCGCGGCGGAGGCGCGGCGGCGCTCGGACGGCGCGCGCGAGCCCCCGACGCCGGCGGAGCCGCGCCGCGCCTCCGACTCGGGCGCAGCGCGCACCCCGCGCAGGTCCGTCAGGTTGGTGCGCTTGGCCGCTTCCAGTGGGGGGCTGCCGAGGCCAGATGCTGCATTCCAAATTATAGTAGTTGCTTGGGGAATGTCTCCAGAGGGGGGCTGCCGAGGCCAGATGCTGCATACCAAATTATAGTAGTTGCTTGGGGAATTTCTCCAGAGGGGGGCTGCCGAGGCCAGATGCTGCATACCAAATTATAGTAGTTGCTGGGGACAGAGGGGGGCTGCCGAAGATGCTGCATTCCAAATTAGGGGGGGAATGTCTCCAGAGGGGGGCTGCCGAGGCCAGATGCTGCATACCAAATTATAGTAGTTGCTTGGGGAATTTCTCCAGAGGGGGGCTGCCGAGGCCAGATGCTGCATACCAAATTATAGTAGTTGCTTGGGGACAGAGGGGGGCTGCCGAGGCCAGATGCTGCATACCAAATTATAGTAGTTGCTTGGGGAATTTCTCCAGAGGGGGGCTGCCGAGGCCAGATGCTGCATACCAAATTATAGTAGTTGCTTGGGCAATGTCTCCAGAGGGGGGCTGCTGAGGCCAGATGCTGCATCCCAAGTTATAGTAGTACTATCAACGTCCAATGTTGCGCCACTTGAATGAATGAATTGAATGCGGGATGTGAAAAAGTTGCGCCAAAAATAGATTAAGAGGAACGCTCCCATGTCAAACTATGACCTCTTCAACATCATAACTGCGTAAGTATGTTACCGTCTTCCTTCAGAATTTCGCCAATATGGTCGGTTTGTAAGTATAAATAAAGTCACAATGATTTCCAAATGAATGAAAAAGTCATACTAAGCATTTCACATTTATACCAGTTCGGTCATAGATGCAGAAACAAAATAAATGATTATATTCTTTTAGCGAGAGGCGCTGTACCAGTTCGTCTATCAACAGCGAGCGACGCCGCTATTGGGGTGGCTCCGAACCACGATCTTCGGTCACATCCCAAGCCTCACAAATGGCGCAGGTGCGTGGCGTGATCTGAAAAAATTAAAAATACTTCTGTTCATATCACTCTACTATAAATTCGTCGATATAAACCAATAAAATAAAACGAATAATCCTGCTTTGCGGTCGTCGCTTATAAAAAAGGACATAAAAATCACTACAACAGAATGAATGGAAGCAATTTACACTGATTTCAGTTTCCCGGTATCACATAGAAATTAATAAAAAAAATCACACCGGTTTCAGTTTCATCTTTTACATTACAAAATAAATAATCAAAAATAAAATGGAAAACAACTCATTACATCAGATGACGAACGTTCTTGGGCTTTCTCTGTCGACAGAAGAAATTTGCTTTATCGAACGTTACGTACATTTATAAATGTAGCAGTGGAGTAATACGCCGTCAATATGATTGGGTCATGTTCAGCCAAAGCTTGAGAACTGTATAACTAGTTAGTTAGAAAAAAAAACTCACTGTTTACTCATTTCAGACCTACCGTCGGGACACCGGCCAGCCCAAAGCCGGCGTCGTGATCACTTCCTTCAGACAATCGCACAGAAGGTAAAGCTGCCGTCCAACGATTTAGCGTCTTTGATTTGCGTCTTTGATCGATTTCAGAACTTTATTCGTTTAACCGTTCATCGTGTTTATTGATCACTTCGGCACAAAGCGGGAGATCACGATTTACTCTCGATGTTGTGGCATGAACAATTTTTATAATCTCGAATATCTTGATCGATCTATTGGAAATGTCACTAATGCTTCTGCACGGTGTTCAACGTTGTATATTAAACGCCTTTATGAAATGAACGAACTTCAGTTCGCCATTATAATAGTGGTAGGAATGAAGTTATTATGAATCTGATTTGTAATGTATGAAAAATTGGTTTAACAGCTTTGGAAAAGACCTGTTGTGGTGAGTGAGCGGTCGAGGTAAAGATTGTAGAGAGCAGACCTTGTAGAGCCACAGTAGTGGAGTATTTGGAAAATATTTTGCTTAACCTAGAGAGTTCTCCCTTTTTTATAAGAAAATATATTTGTCAACCCCCAATGAAGTTTTGATTGCCCCCCCCCCTAGACCAACTACGTAAACGTGTGAATACAACAAAGATAACAAACTAAACAATGCAAATTGGAGAAAAACGTTCTCCTACGATTAACGAAAGAGTGAAATTTTTATTTATATACACTACATAAATGCTCGTTCGTTCGTTTTGAATTACTGTTTGATAAATTGATCAAAATACAACATTTTACTAGAGACACTGGTGATATGATTGTAAAATGCAATTTTTTCTCACCGCAATCGCTTTTATTAATTAGAAAAAATAGATTTTTCTCTTTGGATAAAGTAGAATGCACCACATTATGCATAAACATTACTTTTATATTAACACTAGAGGTTAAATGACGTAAGTAATTTTTCGAGGTGTAAATTGTTTAAATTATTTAAACTTTATTGCGTTATGAATTATTTTTAAACCGGTCAAACATTTCTCATTTCATTTTTGCATGAATCGAATTCCTTCTGTTTGTTTAAAAATATCGTTTAATTTTGTCTTCTTAACTTTTTTCTTGTCTAGTTAGCCTTTTATATCTTACCTCTCTGTCGAAGTAGTTCTTTTAGTGTTTTCTCTCTGCATGTTTTTATTTCCCTCTTTATTATCTTTTTTCATGATTGGATCCCCATAGAAAAATAATAACTTTCCCATTAACTCTATACTCTCATTTTACCACAAAATATCGAAATTCTTCTTGAATCAATCATAACTCCCCATAGTAAGCATAAGTCTCCGTTTCCGTATCACCGTTTCGGTTTACTTTTCAAAGACTCTCACGACACCTCCCAAGTTTCTGATGTCTATAGATCCTCGAATTGTGCATTTCGTGATGCCTGTCTCTCGATCTAGGAGCAGTACGTCGACGGCTGCCGCCGCTTTCGCTGTCGCTACATCGGCTTCGTCGAACCCCCGCTCACCCCCGCCCACCTCACCACCACATAACAGACGCGACTCGGTCATTTCTACTGCGGCGACGATGCGAGTGCTCAACGTGCTAAGGTTAGTCTTTTCTGTTAAATAAATTGGCAATCAACCAAGTGGTTTCATTGAAGGTAATTCACATATAAAGGATAGCCACATGGGATGCATGTGCATCCATTGAAGTGAGTGTGTTTAACTGTAAAAATGGTCATATGGCCATTATTAGGGGCGGCTAATCGTGACAAAAATTCACTGATGATAAGATATATGATGGGCGCTGAGAAAAGGGTGGCTGGAACTTACTACATGGGCTGGGGCCTAGGGCGGCCAAGACTACAAATCTGCACCTGCATATGGCACTAACCTCCTTACGCCCTTTCACAACGAACCGTTAACTATAAACTACTACAAAGTTAAACTATAATAATATTACGTTTTTTATCAAGTTTTTTTAATAATGTTATGTTGTGGTTTAGTGACTTCTTTTCAGTCTTTCTGATTTCATACTTTTTCATACCATTGTTCATTTATGCCCCATTTAACGCTAATGGGCTTACTGTTACGACTAATTAAGCTCTGTGTAGAAGCTCTGTGTGAGTAGAATTTTATATCCGTCACATCATACTCCATAAGATTTGACATACGTACGAGTTTGTTTCGTTAACCGCTTCATGAAAGTTAAATGATAAAACATATCCATTCGCGTCTCAATTTCTTTAAAAAACGACTAAACTAATAGATAGCAATCTGAAATTGTGAAATATATATAACTTATAAACAAATCATGGACGCGATGTATATACCCACAATTGGTATCATAATTAGTAAACCACGCATACATATAGCCCATACCGCAGCTCTGATTAGAATGACGGTGAAATTATGGAAGCTTATTTTAAGCTACATTTCTAACAAATATCCTTACATTCAGGCATTGGATATCTAAGCACTCATCAGACTTCTGGTCCGACGAGCGTCTGCGCGGCCTCACCATGGACTTCCTCAAGGAGATCGAAGGCAGCCCGGGACTCCTTCCTGCGGAGCATAAGGCCGCGGCGCAACTGCTGCGCCTTTTGGAACGCGCCCCGGACAGGGCTATTGACTTGAAAGCCATATTCGCCCCCCCACCTGTGAGTAGACGCCCAGCCAACACCATCGCAAAGCACTCTTACAAAATAGCGAGCCTAATCGTATATATTTCTTTTAACGTCGTTATGGCCTTGAACAAGTTAGTTGAAACTGCCCTGTGGGTTCATATTCAATAAAGATTTTAATGTTGCTCTGAAAGAATAGATGTCACCCAACATATACACACCGGCACAATTAGCGGAACAGAAAAAAAAGTGAGACTATGAGATAATAACGCATATATTTGACGAAAATGTAATTAGACACAAAATAACAAATTGATTAACATCTTTTAACAACGACTTTGAAAAGTCTTCGTTATTTTTTATTGAAAAATAAAGAAATTTGAAATAAGTGAAATTTTTAGATGATTATGAACCATCACAAAAAATAAAAAAAGTAAGCATTAAATGATTTAACAATAAAATTAAAGCAAAATTAATAACGAGTGTTTCCCCCTCTTGCTCTGATTACGGTTTCCATTCGTCTGGGCATGCTACAGATTATGTTATCGATGATTTCTTGAGGCAACCGCCCCCACTCCTCAAGTAATGCGTTTCCAAGTTCATTCAGATTGTTGGGGGGTGGCATTCTGGATTTAACCCTTCTTTTTTTAGCAAGTCCCAGACATGCTCTATCGGATTCATATCGGGGGAATTTGCTGGCCACTGCATCACCGGTATAGCTACGTGGCTCAGATATGCCTGTACCAATTGTGCACTATGAGCACGAGCATTATCTTGCATTAGAATAAAGTCGTCATCAATAAATGGGGCAAATGGTACAACATGTTCTTCTAAAATGTCTCTGATGTATCGATCTGCTGTCATGGTCCCTCCTGTGACTATCAGTAACTCCGTGCGAGCTCCCAAACATATCCCTCCCCAAACCGTAATCGAGCCGCCACCATAAGCCACTGTGTGTTCAAAATTAGACTGTATGTGGCGTTCTCCTTTGCGTCTCCATATTCGCTGTCTCCCATCGATCTGTTTTAAAAGAACTCTGCACTCATCAGTAAAGAGAACCTGCTGCCATTCGTTCAAATCCCAATGACGATGTTCTCGCGCATAGCTTAATCGGTTTACGCGGTGACGTCTCTCAAGTTTTGGGCCTTTGGCAGGTATATACGACCCTAAACCAACTTCTTCAAATCTCCTGCGAACTGTACGCTCACTTACTCGTACTCCTCGAACGTCTTCCAGTTCATTTCGAGCTTGTACAGCCGTTAATCGCGTATTCCTACGAACTCCAAGTTGTAAAAAAACTGTCATCTCGCCTCGATGTACATCTTTTTCTACCTTGACCCCTCCTCCTCACAAGAGAATTAGACGATCTGTACCGCTGGATGCTGCGATGAATCGTTGATACTGGTCGACGAAGCCTTGAGGCAATCGATCTGTAGGTATGGCCATTTCTCCTCATTTCATCAGCCCTAATGATTTCCAGTGATATTAAGTCAGGCATAATAAAGAGCTTTTAATAAACAAAATTGCCTATAGAATAACAAATTTATAAAAAACCATTAAGTGCAATTTTTCAAAAAAAAATACAATTACGTAGTTATTACTCAAACAAGTTGACAAAACGTATTGTTCGGGAAAATAAAACAAATGAATGAAAAAAGTGTATGTCATCTAATTTTCTATTTTCAAATTTGACAATAAATTAAAAAAATATCATAACTGGCCAGTTCCTCAAGTAAAAGATTTTAAAATCCTGCTTTTTTTTGTGTTCCGCTAATTGTGCTGGTGTGTATAGATAGAGAAGTAATTTTAAATGTCAGAGCATTATCTGACTTGGTATCTCGGCAATCAACTTTATCAAATTTGTAACATATATTATTTCACTTATTGCAGACGAAAAAACATGCTATCATCTGCATTTGAACTCGAGTCAAAGTTTAAGTTGTAAATATCTTGAATAGACTTTTAAATATCTTCAATCGAATGTGGTTGAAATGTAAAAGTATCTAAACATTTTGCGTTCTCCAAAGATAAAGTGAGATTTACATAGGTAATGCCTACAGGTGCCAACGAAGGAAAGCATTGAAACCCTCTCGGCGTTGGAGATCGCCGAACAGATGACATATTTGGACTATCAGATCTTCAGCTCTATCCACAGCGAGTGAGTACTTCGAACTATTTAACGTTATAACGTATAATGCGTTCAAAATATGTCTCAAGTGTTTTAACAATGCACATCTCCAAGTCAGTCACCGGTTTTATGAAAAGCTAAAACATTTTACATTTGCAAAACTTGGCCTATTCCCTTAAAACGTCACGTATACCCATAGACTTTCCGTTATATCCAGAAAACACAACTGTTTCTATATCATTAATTTTGTAATTTAAATACCTATTTACGATTACGGGCGCTATAACTATTTTTAAATAGTAGTAACTATGACATTAAGACGTCCAACGCCTCATTCTGTCCGGTGACCATGACCGCTGCAAACTGTTCGAAACGTGGGGAATTAAAATTAAAAATAAAAAAATCCGTAAAAAAAAATTCTGTCATAATGAAAATAAAAGAAATTAACAAGGGCACTATTCATTTCATTAAAATTGGCAGAGACAATTAAATTAAATCCGGCCATCTATAAAACAGCATTTTTAGGTATTTTAGGCATTTTTAGGGTCCCGCTTTACCCTTTGGGTACGGAACCCTAAAAATGTTAAAGCATATTATGTTATTAGCTTCACAACTATAATATTAGCATCACCTTTTATAAGTCGCGATAAAAAATGAGGATTAGAAATTTTTCTCTTCCAATGGAGGCATACTCGTCTTTTTGTTAACTAAAACAAGGCAACCCGTAGGGAGTTCTTGGGGCAGGCGTGGACGAAGGCGGACAAGGCGGACCGCGCGCCCCACATCCTGATGATGACCGGCCACTTCAACCACATTTCCAACCTGGTCATATCAGAAATTTTGAAGAAGGTCACTCTTACAGGTATTTGATATAAGTCGAATATTATAGCTTTTACATTTACTAACTGTGGTAGGCCACGCAACAGTGTTCACTTTTGCACGCACCCGTCCGAGTAAGTACCACGACCTAACGGAAGACCGGCGTAAAGTAGAAGTGTTACACTTCACTTTACTTGAGAACTCACCTGCTGTAGCGAGGCGAGGATCCATCGCTTTAGTACTTCCGTGTCCCAGGCGACTTAATCTAGCATACTCCTATCAGTCTACTGACTCGGCTAAACGATAAACGATGCAATCCGACTGCAGGCCGAGTGGCGTCGATAGAGAAATGGGCGGCCGTGGCAGACATAGCTCGCTGCCTGCACAACTTCAACGGCGTCCTGCAGATATGCGCCGCGCTGTCCAACACCTCGATCTACCGTCTGAAGAAGACGTGGGAGAAAGTGTCGAAGACGGTGAGTGAACGGGCATACATATTAATGCGTCGGAACAGCGCAATTTAGAAGAGGAGACCCAAAAGGGCCATAGTCGCGGAAGATTGCGTCCACGTGTTCCCGTGTCCCCGGCCGGTGCGACAGAGACAGGTGCAACGAGCGTTGTTAGTGGGTACCCGTTTCTCACCGGGACTCCCACATACCCCTGCCACTTTACACGATTTTTCCCACGGGGAAAAAAGGTATACATGTTAAAGTGGGACGACCCCTCATTAGATAGAGTGCACCTACGCAAGTGTGCGGGAAGTGGATGGATGCATCCATCCACTTCCTGGTGGCTCAGGATCGCGCTTCGGGGCAGTCTGTGTGTGTCAAATTTATACAGGTAACGTTATTTTACAAGTATGTCTTTCTTTGTGTTAAAGCTTATATTGCTACTACTTAGAGTGGTTTGAAGTGTTAAATAAAATGTTACGTACATTTTATTGCAAGGATAATTTAAAAAAATTAATTATGTATTTTATAAGATAATATATAAAATAAAAGGCATAAGAAAAGGTGTTACCATTGTGATGACCACGTGATTTCTACAAAACTGTTACACGCATCCAAAACAATAATTTTATGTTATTTCCTATTTCATTCTTTGTTCATGATATGTTAAATCGACTTTTTTGTGATAGTTTTAACATGAGTATGAACTTTTAAAATCGTAACGTTTTCGTTACAGAGCAAGCAGACGATCGAAAAAATGCAAACGATAATTTCTTCGGAGTGCAGATTTAGGATTTTGAGGGACGCTCTGCACAGGTTAGTAACATACAAAATATCTATCCAACGGGGGTTGTAGGTTCAATATAACGATCCTAATTGAATAACACTACTGGCGTAATACTTGCTACTTATCAATTCATCATCCTTCCTGCCCTTATCCCGCCTAGATGGGGCCGGCACACCATGTGAATCATGTTTTTTACGACCTTAGATGTTTTGGCTATATTTTTTACGACCGTAAAAAACACCTGTAAACACCCGTAAAAAAGCCTGCCTGACGTCAACCCTCCTTGAGAAACAAACACCCAGATCCGGAAAAATTATCTGTGGCTCGCAAAAATACTCGTCCCGTGTGGGAATCGAACCCACGACCCCCGACGCCGAAGCCAATAGCTCAGAAAAGGCACCATCGAGCCGTAGTTGCAATCTAAATTCTCGAAGCTTTTTGGGGTAAATTGTTACGTCTAATTTCAGATGCGATCCGCCGTGCATACCTTACTTGGGCATGTATCTCTCTGACCTCTCTTTCATCGAGGAGGGCACATCCAATTACACTCCAGATGGGCTCCTCAATTTCTCCAAAATGAGAATGGTGAGACGATTTAGACGTTCGTCAAATTTGACGAAGATAAAACCGGCAAATGCGAGTCAGACTCGAGAACAAAGGGTTCCGTACCATTAACTATAAAAACGGCACTATCCATAAAATCATGTCTGTTGTATGGGGGCCCACCTCAAATGTTTTTATTCTATTTTTTAGTATCTGTTGTTATAGCGGCAACAGAAAAACATCATCTGTGAAAATTTCAACTGTCATCATCACGGTTCATGAGATCCTGGTGAAAGACGGACAGATAGACAGACAGCGGAGTCTTAGCAATAGGGTCCCGTTTCACCCTTTGGTTACGGAACCCTAATAATTGTTACGTGTTTAATACAGTTATTGTTTCGCGTCCTTTTAACGCTAAAATATTTTACTGTCAATATTATTACGCGTTAATGTTATAAACAAATAGATGTAGCTTTCCGGTACGGTATTTTAATTTGTACGGCCCGTGGAGGGCAATATACTTAAACAGGCTGAAATGATGATGATAATAATAAAGTTTATATTTTTTTTAAATAATCATTATATCGAAATGTAATTCACTATTTATTGGATCAGAGATTTATCACGTGCTCATCGGTGAAGGAAAACATCGTGAGGAATTTCGAAATATTTGAAAAATTTGAATTTCGAATTGAATTTCGAGGTATTTTCGAAACAATCCAAAAAAATATTTCGAAGGGTCCCGTAGTAGTCTATGCCTTAATATCCTCTGTACATAGGAGGCCTTTGCCATATACTAATTGTTACTTTAGTTTAAATATAAAATCTTTGGTTGAAATCACTTACTTCATGTTCATTGCTTCACAGATAGCGCATGTAATCAGGGAAATTAGGAACTTCCAGCAAACTCCGTACAAAATTGACCATATACCTAAGGTAATATTATTTTGTTTTAAATTTTTGTTTTGTTTTGTATAATAAGAATACTCATACAACTGAATCGGCATACTGAGGTAATTGTAATAGGACACTCAACAGGATTTTGCACAGGCAACTAAGGATGTTTATATGTTCTCTAAAGTTCATTCATGGAGTGAGTAAAGAAGTGTGTTTTTACATAAATATGTAGGTATCACCTAGATAAACACCCAGATCCGTAGCAGTTATCTGTCACGCAAATAGATGCCCCGGGTGGGAATCGAACCCACGACCCACGACCTTGCCAACTGGGTCCGGAATTGTCACACTTATTTCAAATTTGACCCATAATTATTTATATGGCCATAATATCAATAAAAAAATTCGTTTGGTTTTTGCTACGTGGCTGCTACGTGGCCCTACCAATAATACAAGAATAGAAGAATACCATTGGCGTCCAAGTTAACGGTGGTACCATCCTAGGGTAGGGCCACGCAGCAGCCTCGTCTGTTGCACGAATCGGCAGGCTCGTCCGGGTAAGTACCACGACCTCACAGAAAACCTGCGTAAAGTGGAAGTATGATACTTTCGCATTTCGTCTGGTGAGTGAGGTGGCCGGAGCCCAATTTTCAAAAGGTTGCCAACCCTAGGTTGTTGCAGATGTCCATGGGCGGAGGTATTCACTTAACATCAGGTGAACCGTCTGCTTGCTTGTCAACTTTTCAAATAAAAAAAGGCGAGGTCCAGTGAGGGATGGGCGATGTCGGCAGGTGTGCGACTTCCTGCTGGACCGGTCGCTGATCATCCCCGAGGAGCGGCAGTACACGCTGTCCCTGGAGCTGGAGCCGCGGCCGTCGCGGGGCTCCGCGGGGGGGCTGCACCCCGCGCCCGCCTCCCCCGCCTCGCCCGCCGCCCAAAGGCGGCGCCGCGCCTCCCTCGCCGCGTTGGCGCCTCTGCGCACCGAACGATAAGCCCCCTCTGTCAACTCTTCTGTCTTCCTCCCTTTCTTCACTCTTCCATCTTCCTTCTATCTATCTTCCGTCGTCTCCCCTCCGCCTTTTTAATTTTTGATAAGGAAGGCTCCAACAAGCCCCATTTATCTTCGGTACTTACTTTCTCTTTCTGTATTTTTTCGCCTATCCCGTCCATTTTATTCCTTTTCGTTTCATTTAGCCTTTTTTTGAACTTTATACCTTTCTCTTTCTTTTTACTAATTTTACTTCCTTCATATTTCATTGTTATTACTCCTTGGTTTCTTACTGGAAGCGGTGTGAAGAAGATTTTTATTAGCAAGTAGCATTTAATAGGGATTCTCTCCGCTTTGAGTAACGGTTTCTTTCAAATTAATCGTTTGATTCAATCTTTTATAAAGCTATGGTTATCTTCGCGTCCCATAGATTAATTTAATGATTACCGCACTATAATGTTTTTGAGTACAAGTCCTTCTAGAGATATTGTGTAGCTTAAGCCACGCTTAAAACGAAACGCGTATCGGTCATTTAATAATTTGATTTGTTTAAAGCGATTACTGCTTGACGGTGGAACTTGTTAACAGAGTTTTAATAAGTAAATCAAAAATCATAGATAAACTAAGAGAAAATAATTTTAAAATCTGAATATTTATGATAAATTTGATTCGTAAATACTTCGTAAGCTGTAAAGTGAACGATTTTTTCTTGGGAAATTTTATATTCGATAATGTTTCCTAAATCCTAATCATGAAATTTATACTGTTAATGAACTCTACATATACATTTTATGACGATAATTATCATTGAGGATAAAAACATAGAAACAGGCTGTGCACCGAGTTGATCCTTTAATGTTCAAATTAAAATTCGTAAAAAAAAATTTAAATTGTTAGTATTTGAAAAACACTTAAATTATTGAGCATTTAACTTATGATAAAATGATCTCGGTCATTTTAATAGCGTAAAAAAGAGCTTCTAGAATCTCCATTTCTATTTTTGTATACTTCACTATAGTGTCAATTATCTACTATTCATGTAAAATAGATGAAATCATGATACAAAAGAAACACATCTTAAGATTCTCATATTTTTTTTATATATTTTTTTACCTATAATTTAATGGTTCATTTAGATCGAGAATCTTAAATAAAGTCGTGTAGTAAAACATATCATACCTGATAAAATATCACTAATATATGTAATAAACATATCAACCACTAATAACAAAAGGTCGTGTGGCTAATCTACGATTTTACGTTTCAAAAGTGATTATACTAAAAATATATTGATAATAATAAAATAATTCAAAGCAAACATAATTCTAAAAGGTTTTAAGCAAATATGAGTGAATCAAACAGAAAACAATATAATATTAATAGTGGTGTAATACAATATAACTAAAACAATAATTTTCCCGCTAAAAATTCCTCAATGGATGTAGAAATGTATTAGGGGTTAGGTTCATAAGGTATCTTATAAAATTGTTATACTCTCGAATTTTAGCGTTTACTTGTTAAAAATTTATAAATGTTTGTCACATGTTAATAAATATACAATCGGCGAAATAAAAAAAAGTTTAAAGCATTTAATTAAATTTCTAAATGTGAACAGTCAATACTGTCTTTTTTAAATGTTTCTGAAGTTAAATTAGAGTATTTTTAATGTTTAAATTTATCACAATGGCCGATTTCATTAAAAAAAATCGATGTTGTTGTTCTACACTGTTGGTCTATTTCGTAATTTCGATCTTTTGATATTTTCAATAAAAATATCAACTTGCGTTCAGAGATAAAACATATTTTGTTGAAAAATCGATACTTATGAACACATCAACGCCTTGCACAATAAGAATAGATAAAGATGGTTCTAAAAACAACCATTTTGTGTATAATAAATATTTTTGATTAACATTTTGGAACTAGGCCCATGACCTTCTTCTCTCATACAAAACCTCAGTACTGTCGTGCTTTTTTATGATTATAGTTTAACAACGTCTTGGGATTTATCCATATTAGACTATTCATCATTAGTTATACCTCTTTTCAATTTTACTATAGGGCCTGCTAAACGTTGACGTTTTGTTTTTACTTGAGTAAAATTATTATTTAAATACACCACAGTCAAGCACTAGGATTTGAGATCAATGCCCAGCCCAGATCAATGCCCAGTACTTCATACAAATGTATTTTGAGTCGGTTACGACTCAAATAAGAGTCAAAAATATTCTGTTGGCAAATATCTACTGAACAAACATAAAATAGTGGATGAAGTGGAATTAAGTGTGGTTAATGAATTTACTAAGATTATAATTAGTAAGCAAAAAACATGGCATATTTTTTTGTTTTTTTTACATTTAATAGGCTCGTGGCCCCCGTCTGGAACGAAACTCACTTTTCGTTCATTTCCGATAATAATTCTATTGTTTTTTTTATTTTTGTTTATGAGTTTTCCATACGGATACCATTTCATATTTTACAAAAACTATTATATTATATATGGAAAAAAGATTATATTACGCCGCGGGACACGCCCTACTATCAGAAAGAGATAAAAAAACAGAAATTCGAAGAGTCTAATAACGCTTCCTCCTTACGTTTTACCAACTCACACTCCTTATTTTATATTAACCTTAAGGAAAATGGTCATGGGCTTAATAATCTAATAGTGCGATTAAAATTTCGCTCTATGTTCTTCTAATAGTACGCCGACGTCTGAAGTATAGTATAAGTGGTAATAAGTTACATCTAAGCATTTTCTACGCCCCTTTTCTAAGTCGTTTAAAGTTAGCGTTGTGAACTTAGGCCTGTGGCACTTATGAGGACGTGACGCCATCGGATTCCTGTTACATGGCAACGTTTGAGCTTAAGAATCGTCTGATAATGCACAGTAAAGACTGCACGGCCCCGATGCGACAAGAAAGGGTAAGGTTTGCACGCGTGTAATTCTACAGCGGTTGTGTCGAAGGCTTTTACTAAAAACGGTGACCGAATAAAAACTTATGGCAAAAGGGGAATCACGTCTGTTGTTTAGAATGTATGGCAACGATCGTTTCGGATGGAGCCGTGTGAGATTTAAAAAAAAAAAGAAAATAAAAAAATATATTCCTTCGACGTTCCCACTGACCTTTACAATTTTGCACAACTTTTTGATATCGTCACTTTTGAAGGCTGTCTCTATTGTTAAAAATATCTATTTAGTGATAGTGAAAGAATAATGTTTTAGGTCAATGTTATCTTCTTGTAAGATTGTCTTCCCCTTCTTGTTTGGTGATGACGCGTGACGTTCGTCGGATTTTTTAAACGTTCCACGTTACAAATGACTGTGTGCTTCGTTTTTGAAACGCTCTTATGAATACGATAAGGATTTTATTAGGACTAAAGTTAAGTACGCCTCACCCGAACTACCTCTACGCTCATTTAGACAATGTACTAAGCTCAAAATGTATTTCCTTGTTGAATGTTTACTCTATGGCTGGCTCAATAGTGTTAAAATGTTAAGACTCCAACTAAACGCTGTGTTTATCTGACACCTTCGTTGTAACCTCATGTTAGTACTATATTGACGTTTTAGGTGCTTCTCAGAGTTATGGCGGGAATATAGTTTATTTTTTCAAATATAATGTAGTTTTAAATGTTTTATGGCGTCTTGGTGTGGTGCCCCATATTTCTATAGCAACAGATACTAGTATCTATTTGTATGTTGTTCCTGTACTTTTTCTGTGTCGAATACATAATATAGTGTTTTCTTCTTTAAGATATGTATCCACTCTGTTCGTACAATATGCCGGCCCTAAATATTTTGTAGAAATTTCTTGACCGCTTTTGTGAAATTAATTAAAAAATAAAAATTGTGTTTATTCCTTATTCAATTTAATATGTGCAAAACCATCTTGTCAAATATCTAAAACCATCTGGGCACATTGTTAATTTGTAATATTTTTTAACATTGTCGCTTAAAAATTTACCTTACAATTAACGTATCGCTTGTAATTTAAATATAAACTAAAGCACAATTTTTCTAAATTATTTCAGTAATACAAAACTCTGAACACTTGCTATGAATTTCTTTGACGCGTAATTTTACAAAACTACATCATAATCTTATTGTAAACCTTAATCCATCTCAGGCCATCATGACATAGCACTGTTATTGTGGTAATTAAAAAAACTAAGTTGGATTAAGGTCATTGTTATTATGAAATGTTTGATTGAATAGTCTCGTTCACACGCGCGTTTTCAATCAGATTCGTTTATCAATTTACGGTCAACAACGGTTGTCGTAAGATAAATACGAGGAAAGCGTCGAAAGTATACCATCCACACTTCACGCTACTTCAAATCAGTAAGTTTCACAAATTACCTCAATTTATGGGGTTGGCGTATCTTTATAGATAAAAAGCTCATAAAAATAAAGATAATATTAAAAAAAAAAAAACTCAATTTGATTAGTAATTGTCAACACTCAATAGTAGCTTATCTGAAGTGCGTCAGTTGCCCGTATCTGAGTCAAGTCTACGCTTGTGTGAAAGAGTATCTGCGATCGGTAGTACAAAGTTCATGTTTAATCTGAGTCACTGTTAACGAAATACAAAAATCATGACAATACAATTTCAAACAATCTTATGATACGCTTTAGCTGTTAATCTTCGTTAATGTTAGTCAAACCTCGAACTGAAAATTTGCGAAAGTCGATCACCGTGAAACCGGTTAAAATGCTATTACAGGTTATTTCGTTAAAAGAATAAAATTAAAAGTAAAAAATAAAATTATTTTTACCGCTTTTTAATATTTTATGATTACACGAATTGTATAGGACGAACAAGAATTTTCATTCCTGTACCTTCGATCTTGAAAGAAAACTAAACTTCGTTGTAATCGTTCGTAATACATTCCTTGATTGTGGAAATATTATTCAACTTAATAATATTATTATATCATATCAATGTCACTTCGATGTTACAGATTATTGAGAAAATCTCTCGCCATTAAGGTTAAGTTCCTTAACCATAACTGAAACAACGAAAAATGGCGGGAATTTTTTTCGCGGGCGCCATTTTTCGATGTTTCCCCCTATATCGAAATGTCGTCTAATTTTTTAAATACCTACAATCCGGTTTCACGAGATCGAGGCGACGGCGAAACAACGTTTTGCCCTTCGCAAGAGATTTCTTTATTTGTTGCCTTATATTAAGTTGAAAACGTTGTTTTCGGTCGTTTAGCGGACCCTTTTTGGCTCTATGTCTGGCCGCACGGTTGTTGTTCTTTCCCAAATAAAGTTGTCATTGGATAACGTTACCCCCGTGTTTTATTTTTGTATCTATTACATACCTACGTAAATTCCAGTATTACCAGTACTCATAACGACTTCAAAATTATGGGATCCGAGGTAAATCCCTATGGATTAAAGATTACATGACCATGCATCTTACAAGTGCATATCTACTAATGTTTCTAGAATAATAGAAATAGAAAGATAATAAATACATGACACAATGATAGTATTTTATGAAAATTATGCAGAATATGGTCTAATACAATTTACAATATGGTAATACAATAGATCACTTACAATAAATATCACAAAAAATATATAGCCTTTCATAAAACAGCAAACTTAAGACCTGCTCAAGATTTAACCCTTTGATTATATACTTTACATTATTTATATCATCTTTGTTTGTCAAGTATACAATCTTGACAAGTATACAATCAAAGATTTAACCATTGCTTTGCATGTAGCTCCATGTAGTAGAAACTCGTACAGTACAAACTATTGTACTTGCTCCATCATAGAAAAAATTACTAATATTAAATATCTGAGCGTTGTATTAGATGATAAATTAAATAGGGGGGTAATCAAGTATGCAAATTAGCAGTTTAATAAAAGTCTTTAAAAAATTGACGGAGGCAGCTTCTGATAAGATATACAAAGCTAGCATTGTATCATTACATTTGTTCTTGGGGAGGAGCCTTGAAAACTCACCTACTTGAAGCTGAGCGAGCTCAGCAAGCTATAATTAAAGTATTTTTTAGACTCCCATAGATCCCACCACTGAGCTTTACACCAAAATTCTGAGCGGCAGAAAAACAGACATATTTGAAGAACTTCCATCAAAATGGGAACATTACTAGAGGTATAAACAACGCACACACACACACACACACACACACACACACACACACACACTTAAGCATCTCTATTTTTTGTTACTTAACTTTTGTTTAATATATTTACTTAATGTTAAGTCAATTAATAATTTTATTTTATTAGCAGAAAAGTGCTCATTAAGACTTTATTAAAACTAAGTCAGAGTGTTCAAGAAAGCGTATTTATTTATCTATTTAAAATTCATCGTCATTATCACTTCAGCCTGTTTTAGTCCACTGCTGAACTAGGGCCAACTAGGGCATAGTTGACGGATAGTCAATAATACGCACGATTCATAAATACTTCATCCAAAATCAACTGGGTAGTTGATCTTGGACGCTCTAAAAATTATTTTTTTTGCATAAAGTATTTGCATAAAGTATCCTTGCAAAGTATAATAGTAGTCCGTTTTGAAACGCCTTTATTATATTTTTATCTTTTTCCGGAATATAATCAAAAATGGGATTATACAAATTTCTTATTTTATTATTTTGACAACATTCTTAGCGACACCATTTTCAACAATATTGTAATTGTAATCTGCAACAATTCTAATTTTAATTCATCGATATTATGTAACGATTTTTGGGAATTTGAAAATATAATTAGAATTTATGGCATAAGAAATCGACTGTCAGTTGTTAAAAAAATTATGTGCGTTTTGAACAAGGCAGTAAAGTGGTCACAGTAAAATAAAGAAACATGTTCTGATACATATATCTCGCTGCCACTCGGAGCAAACATCGTCGTTTCGCGTAAACGCATCATATTTGGTTTTGCTATCAGACACCGAAGCGAGCGTCAGTCAATATTTACTTTAATATATTTATTGACAACCGTCGCCTAAACTGTCCGTCCTAAATTGGAAGGTTTCGAGAATCGCACATGTGCAGTCGGTCGATTTTCAACCGATTTCAAAAAAGGAGGTGGTTCTCAATTCGACTGTACTTTTTTTATGTTTCTTACCCCAGAACTTTCGACTGAGTGAACAGATTTTATTGATTCTTTTTTTATTTGAAAGCTGGTGTTCCCCATATGGTCGCATATTAATTTCATTGGTATTGGATCTTGGGCTCCGGAGATTCTTAGGGAATCTCCTGAAAATCAATTATAAAAGGAATACAGAGCGAGATATTTAAAGTCGGTTTTGTTTTTCCGTCGAACCACTGTCGGACCACTTCGACCTAAAAAGATCTACTAGAGTCTGCCCTTTGATAACATTGCCCTATAACTGTAGGTATACATTATCCTGTGTTGTAAGGCCGTTTTACATACATATATTTCACGTGGACAAACACCCAGATCTGAAGCCGACTGCGTCACACAAATAGTTTTCCGGGAATCGAACCCACAACCACAGGTCCCGAAGGCAATACGTAGCCAACTGCGCGACGGATCCATCATGTCGGTCGATGATAATGAAAACTGTTATAAGATGTATATAGTTATCGACCGCAGTGCTTCGATACGTAACTTTAGGTTTATAATAAGTGATGTATGTATATCTATTTGTCATCATCTCACACCGTCACGGATTTATGGCTGGTTTCCTTTAAATAAGAGATCCCATCAAGAGAACAACACGTTTTATTTTACTTTTATGAAGATGGCAGGCGAGCTGGCCCGTGGACATTTACAAGACCCGTAGATGGAGATGCGTTGCCGCCTTTTCATAAAGTGGGCCCACGCTACCTCACTCAACAGACGAAACGCAGAAGTATAACACTTCCACTTCCCGCCGGTCTTCTACTTACCCAAACGGACATGCCCATTCGTGCAACAGTGACGGCTGTTGCGTGGACCTATCGCAATTAAAACACATTTTCAAATAGTGTTTTTTTTTTTTATTTATCATGCTAGAATAAATTAATATACTATTGAATATATTCACATATCATGTTAACAGATATAGAGAACCCGTGTCATTGAAATGATATCCTTCCGGAACGGTTTCTGGTGATTTCAATTTGAAATAAAACAGAATGCTTACAAAGAATATTCATTTATCCTATGTATATTATAAACTATTAATTGGCAACATCTCCTGGCTGTTTTGTTTTGGCGCGAAGAAATGAAACCTTCCTTTCAAACGTTTTCATACTTTTCTCCCCTGACTCAATACCCGCTGAATCAGGGTATATAAGTTCGAAATCGATTCATAGGAGGCATGTATTGTCACTGGATTTAAAAAGGACGAAACGTCTTCCTTTCTTCCGTCCCACATCTTGTCACTGGGCTTACAAAGAGCGTAAGCAATCTTTTTCTTTCTTCTGTTCTTCGAGCTCCTTGAGGAGAGGTGCGTTGCCACACATACGCAGATCCCTCGTGTATGGTATCACGCCCACACACAAACCAGATATAACCAGCCAAAGGCCCGCAGCGTAGAAGGTGAGGTCCCAAGTGCCGGTGAGGTCATACAGCATACCTGTAGGGGCGGTATGCTAATAACGGTATGCTCAGTTTAAGAGCCGTGTAATTTAGTGTCTGTTCACTCGGTTCTAATTCATTATTAGAAAGTCCCGTTGAAATCGGTCCAGCCGTTTCAGAGATTAGCCGAACAAACAGACAAACAGCGACACAAAAATTGTAAAAAAATGGTGTATGTAACTTGTACACATCCATATGCATTTAGTAAAAAGCGGTTATTTTAATATTACAAATAGACACTTCAATTTTATTTATCTGTATAGATAATTCTCTCTTTCTTACCTATACAGATTGAAAGACACAGATTAATAACAAAAGATTAATTAAAATTACCCACGCTCTTTAAGATAATATTTACCTCCAATTGGAGGCCCGATCAAATGTCCAATCCCTTGGCTCAGCAGGATCAAGCCGTAAGCGACGGTGAAGTGATCTATCGGCATCAGTTCCATTAAGATGGCAGGAGTGTAAGAGTAGGAGCTCGCGAAGGAGAGGCCGAAGGTCGCGGAGACGATGGCCAGCCCCCAGTAGCTGGTGATGAAGATGGGGTAAGAGGCGACCGATAGACCGCAGATGGTGAGGCACAACGCGTACGTCTTCGTTACGTTAATCCAGGGCTGGTCCCCCGCCCAGCCCAGGGCTACCTGCAATCGATACCCACAATTTCAATTAGTCAATTACACGAGAGAATTGAATCACAAATGTGTACAAATTGAAACTTAGTGATTGTGCTAACAATGAATGCAATTGTGATATAATTCGTGGAAACATTTTCTTCGACGGTCGTATAATGTATCACGTTATGCTAGATTGAATAGCGCTTGATCTATGAGAGTTGTGAGATGAGAGTTATGATGACACCGTAGCGTAATGCCCTTCAACTTGAAGCGTATTATACAGCAACAATAGAATTCGGTCAGCATTGAAGTTTAAATTTCATAGTATTGTTGATTGGCTTATAATACTTCAAACTTAGGGTTTAGAAACAAAAAGAATATCCCAGATCGAGTCAAAATCGCAATAATACAACGACTTTTACACGGTACTAGCGACCCGCCTTGGCTTCGAACGGGTGCAATTTATTATACATATAAACCTCGTGAATCACTCTATCATGTAAAAAAACGCATTAAGATCGTAGTTTTAAAGATCTAAGCATACAGAGGGACAGACAGACAGCGGGAACTTTGTTTTATACCATGTAGTGATATTCCACTATACTGAAATTTGGCAGCAATTTTACTTACAATTCCAATGCTGCTAGCAATACCGATGATGCTGATCATCTCGGCTCCGCCCTCCATGTTCCGGGAGCTCATGTAAGACTTCAGGAAGAAGTACGGAACAATAAACCACACGGAGAGTATGAGCGAAGACAGGTTGAACATAAGGAAGTGGAACTCCGTGAACATCCCGAAGTCGAACGTGGACTTTGCTGTCTGCCATAACCGATGGTACCACTTCTACGGTGAAAAGAGGAAGTAGCCTTAATCTGCTGTGCGGCAGAGTGTTGACGACAAGCCGTACTGACATAGCCATAGTTTCACAGCTTAGATTATTTTAATGAAAGAAAGTGGCCAGAAAAAAGCAGGTGGATGTATAAGTGGTCGCTGCCATGAACTTTTACAACACATGTGCGGCACTATCTATGCCGTTCTACATTTACGGTTTAAGTATGTAGCTTTTTATCTATTTTTTTCTAAATTCCCCTGCGTAAAATTTATAGGCGTACATAATTACGTCTTATGCTCTTATGGCAGTAGATGGAATAAAGCAATTGAAATATTAAAGTGAATTATTAATGATTCTGTCCTTTGACAATAGCCATTATCAAAATATTAATTTTATCTATTATTTTACATATTAAAGTATTATATTTATTTTCCTATCCTTCAAGTTTAATAAGTTCCTTTTCCTCCAAGTTAACTTTAACGTTAAAAACATAAATAAATAAATACGTACCAGTTCATCGTCTGACTCAGAATCGAGGGACCACATTGAGTTCCTGTAAATATCCGGCAGCGAAGAAACTCTCAATTTATATCTGGGAATGTTCATCATAGCGCCCCTGTGCATTATGGTGTTCCTGTAGAGAGGCATATCCCTAAGGTAATGGTGATCAGTCGAAATCTGTCTAGTGAACCAGTTAGTCGCTACAGGGGGCGCTTTAGGTTTTGATTTCTTATCTGTATTAGACTCTAAGTTTGCTTGTTTAGTATCTTTCGCGGTGCTGTCTTGTTGGCCAGGTCTTTCCTTTTCCCTAGGTTCCTTCTCAGCCTTCTTTTCACCTTCTGGCGCGTTTGTTTTTGGCATTTTAACCGTCACAGACACTGGCAGTTTTGCGGGTTCGTTTTTAACCTCTGTTGCCTCTTCAACATTAATATTGACCTCGGAACGCCTTCGAGAGACTAAATCGGGATAATTCTGTAGTATTATATTGTAGAGTCTCTTATTGCTCAATAATTTCTCTATGACCTCCATCGGTACCTGAAAATGTTACAGTTAGTTAAAAAACAATCTCGCTCATTTCTTAAATGTCTCTTAGTATAACAAAGGTATAACGCTGTACACGTCACATCCATCATTGTTAGTATCATAAATGACTGGTGACGAGCTGGTAGCTATTAAACGCAGAGCAAAGTGGTTAAGCATATAATTGCCACATTCACTTAATTAAAATAAATTATTTTACGTGTGCAGTGGAGTTTTATTAATATGCCTATAAGACTGAACTAAACAAATATATATGTATATATATATATATATATATATATATATATATATATATATATATATATATATATATATATATTTCGAAACCAGAACCTTACGAAAGAAACCACTGATTTACATTCTATATACTTATTATTTATTTATAGTATTTTTTACATGTTTATTTTCATATTGATTTATTATTACTATTGTTTAATATCGAAAAAAAATAAAATATGTGATACTTATTTATAGATTACCTTTTCATTTTGTGCGATGAAAGTTGGCAGGTGTATATCCGAGTGTATCCTCTTATACGCCTGTTCGGCATTCATCTGTGTTGTTTCCTCCAACTGTTTGGCTTCTGCAATGCTCGTAGCCAAGGTCGCCAGGATGTAATCGGGACTTTGACCGCTCCTCAACAGCGTCTTCAATTCCTCCGGACTCAGGAACAGTGACTCCCCTCCTATTGACCTGGACGATATAGACCCCGCCGAGGACGACCGTCTAGACCTAGATTTGGAGAGTCTCCTCTCCCTCTTCTGTTTAATCGTTAGCCAGTCTGGGTCCCTCATCAGCGCACCGCACACGCACATATTTAGCAACGTTCCGGCTAGCAGGGCGACAGTATTCCTCCAATCGTACACTTCCAGAAGGTGGTGCGTCAGCGGGGAATAGACCAAGGTGCCGAACCCGATACCGCAGGAGGCTAACGATACGGCCAGGTTGCGCTTCTTGTCGAACCAGAACGCGACCGACACTACGGCGGTCACGTACAATATCCCCATGGCAAGGCCGCTAAGAAAGCCGAACGTCAGACACAGCATCTCCACGGAGTTGCTGACAGAGGCCAGCAGGAAGCCGACGGTCGACAGTAGACCGGCGATCATGGTCATTGCTCTGCAGCCGTACCTGTCCACTAAAGCGCTCATGATCGGCCCGGCGAGCAGCGGTGTGGCAATGAACAGGCTCCCTATCAGGGATGTCTTCGACTGTGTGGTCTCGAAGTAGGCCGTGAACTCCTCGTGGAGCAGCCCGAAGGAGAAGGCCAAGCCGTCGGCGCACGCGGAGACGAGGAACGCGGCGACCACCACCACCCACCCCCAGCCGCCGTCCGGTATTGCCGGCGGTTTGTTTTCGTAGGACATATCTGAACAAATGCTGTCCGCATCGTCCAGACCCTCGAATTTGACCCTGTCGACACCCGTATCTTCTTTAGAGTCCTGCGCTACGTTTCCTTCGCCTCCCCTTTCCGATTTCAACGAGTTGATTTTGTTCATGTCCTTTTCCACGTTGTGTTCCGCTTTGTTTTCAGTCCTCTCGAACGGCGTATCGTTCTCGCCGTTCCCCATCTCCACAGATCAGTACTCAAGGATTTCGCGGTCTGTGAAGTCAATACAAATTTGTTTAAGCGCCGATTTCAATCCGAATGCTCTAATCGCATAGCAAATATGACGTCAACGCTGAAACGTCACAAGTTTTAAAGTGGCAAGCAAATAACATTAACAGTAAGCTGTACTTCGTTTTTTTTACGTTAGAATTTGTAATAGTTGCTTGATAACTGCCGCCCAAGTACATTACAACTCCTTTGGTTGCCAAATGCGTTTTCAAAACTTACAAACATTTGGGCTTCGGTTACCTCACCCACCATAATTATGAAACACAAAAATATAACACTCCCACTTTACGCCAGTCTGTGGTATTTCCCCGGGCGAGCCTGCCCATTCATGCAAGAGCAGAAGCCCTGTTTCGTGATCACTTTAAAAAAAAAAAGAATGTAGAAAAAAATTTAGAACTATAACTCAAAATCACTTTTCTATTGCGATATTTTGTTTTATTTGTTTGTTTTTTTTTTTAAAACACTGCCACCGCTCACTTTAGGATAACATTACCCTGTGTCGTAAGGACATTTTACTAACATAAATTCCGCATGGACAAACACCCAGATTCGAAACAACTATCTGTGGGTCGCTCGAATAGTTGTCCCCACGAACCCCGACGCAGTAGCCAATACCTTGGCAATTGCGCTACGGAGTCATCGATATCCGAGTAAAAACGAAATTGTACATATGTACATTAATAAATATAACACTACAAAGTCGTCCCGCAGTCTGTCTGTCCCTATGTATGCTTAGATCTTTAAAACTACGCAATGAATCTTGATGCTGGTTTTTTTTAATTAGATATAATGATTCAAGAGGAAGTTTATATGTACCCGTGCGAAGCCGGGGCGTAGTAGTTTGTTTATATAACACATACATGAGCCTTTATCTGGGCAAAACTCAAATTCTTAATGGTGGTCTACCAGTGGTTTCGAAAAATACTTTTATCTTCTAATAAGAAGGCTTCTTACAGATGGTTTTTCATTGCTTGCAACGTATTAAATTAGGAATAAGAGCATCTATATACTATATTACACTCTTTGAGATAAGAAAATATCATGAATATTAAGTTGCCGCGACTTACTAATTGTAATCAATAACAATAATAATAAATAATAAATAAGCAAGTAATAAACTTGTATATGATATTTTTTAAATGACTATGTTGAAGGAGAAAAATTTTCAGAAAAAAAATAGAAAAATTTAGACGAAAGGTTTTTCGCCGTTACGGGAATCGAATCCAAATTCGTGCCCAGATGCTTTAGAAACCAAGCTAAACGGACGATTGCCACGCCAACGAGAATCGCAGCGTATTTAATCTAAATTGTTTTTTTGCATTGAAGCAATGCTTGGTGCATCTATTTTTACGTATATAGCCCACAAACAATACCAAATATCGTTTTACAACGATTATTTACATACAATAACATATTTTTCCTAGTGATAACATTACCCAAAAGGAGACGGCGTTATCTGCAGCCTACACTCGCGTTATCAAATAAGTATCTTATTTAACATGATGAAGTTAATACTTAAATTCCGATGAGTGCTTATTAAATAGAAATCATTACACGATAGCGTTCTGTTATCTCATACAATGTTGTGGCTATTTTCAATATTCTACAAACGTTATACCTCTGTGTTTTATAATATGCAATAAATTACGAATTCTTGGCATTTAATAAGAACAATAATAATATTAAATCCAGTTTATTAACTGCAATTCAACGTTGCTATTCGAGTGCATCGACTTTTAAATTTCAAAAGTTCTTATTAATTTATTAATATGGACTCATTATTACAAAACAATACAAAACAATGTGCTTATTTAAATTATCGCGTATCACATACAAGAATCGCAGTAATTCGTGGTATAGTGCTGTAGTTAATACTTCACATTGTTAAATAAAACAATTTGACAGATTTTATATCGTTTATTTTTTTTTTTACTTCCGAAGTTTGGAACACTTCGACGCAGCAACGTGTTAATACTTATAGCCCATAGCTCTTTTTTTTTGTAAATGTTGCATACGTAAGAATGTCCCAAAAAACACAAAAAATATAATTATTTAACACGAAATATAGGTTATAAATCGAAATATATAATTATTTAACGCTGTATTTAGAGAGATAATATCTAATAATTTCTTTTATTTACGCGAATATTACATGTTTTAATAAAAGCTATTTTGAGTTGTTTTATGTCCTTACGGAAACAGGAAGCCCGGTTATAAGTTTCACTTGATCAGACTAACGGGTGGGCGACCACCCAGGTGGACTTTTGCCATGCACTTACCCAACTACAACAAGTTTTTCAAAATTATCTGGCTGCCTACGGGCGATGTGACCAAAATAATTTAGAATTCGTTGATAGCAAACTGTGGAGAGCCTAGTATTAATGTTTAGTTGGTCCCTGACCACCAACAAGTCCATTCTTAATGGAATTGTTGGTGCGTTTCGCTGTCCAGGGTTTCCGTTTTCACTGCCTTGAAGAAGGCCGAAGACAGCGTGGTGTGGAAGCAGCTTGTCGCCGATTCCGTTAAAATTTTTCAGGACGGACACGACCTTCTGTAATGAAGACCACGAAGAAGAAGAAGAAGATGTCATTATGTCAGAGTTGGCACTGGCTACCGTAAATGTTTGTATTTTTTCTCTGTTTACGTAGAAAGAAAAAGTCGGAAGTTTAAAAACGAAACAAAACTTCGTGCAAGAAATCCGTCAAACTATTTTATTTAAAGAAGCCCAATAAAGTTAAAGTTTCAAGACCTTATTTCGCGATACAGAGGTGAACCGTATCCTAAGCACAAATGGTAAAAAGTGGTAGCACGTAACGCCGTTATGATTCGAGGGCCGATCTTGTAATTCCACGTCTAAACTCGAAAAGTTATTAGTCGTGTTTAACACACATCTTATTCATTATGCATTTCCTAAGTTGATTTCAACACGGGACAAGTGTTTAAGTGAACCACAGGCATTACTGTGATCCACGGATTCACAGGTTATGTCGACTCCAACTGCGTGGCAGGAGGATGATGAGGAATTTGCGTAAAATCCTGCCTGGTTGCAGCATAGTATTGAACACAACTACACCGTTGTATATTACATATCTGTTTGTCGAGTTTTTTTTATCGCAGGCTTTATCACATGAACCCTGATAGTTAGACGGTTGAAATTTTCGCTGATGGTATATTTATTTTGCCACTATAACAACAAATAGTAAAAACTGTATAAAAATATTTAAGTTTAGTATTAAAAAAAATAGTATAAAACCGACATGATATTTTTTGCCGTTTATACATAGACAATGGTAAGAAACGATTCGTGCCCGAATCCGACTCGCACTTGGTCGGTTTTTAGGATAACTAATACGAAAAACATTCTACACTACGAAAGGTAAAAATACAATCCAGACTCATATAGCATTTGATTTGATAGTAAGAGATTTATGCGCCTCATCCGGTATATGCTTTAGCCAATTGGTGACTTGAATGGCTTCTGAGCAATAGAATTCCGGCAGTACATCGTGGGTTCAATACCCGTCCGGTATTAGGATTAATGCTATTTATGATAAACTGTTCGAATTCGGTAACTATTTGAAAATACAAATTATTTGTAATCACGACAAAGCCTAATAATAAATATCCTATCGTTGGTTTAATGTTTAAAAGATAAAAATGTAACAAAATTAAAAATGACAACAGGATAGAGAAATTAATTGCGCCACGAATGGCGAACATCATTAATTAATGCAGTTCAATGACCTTACGCTGTTTACAAGCAACATACATTTAAATAATAAGTTAATGGTATAGTTTAGTGGTTAATTCTTCAGGACATTAGCAGAACTTAGAATTTATTCTCGACAAAAATTTATTTACAAACAAAAGTTTCATATTGTCAGCATTGTATCAAAATAACTTTACGGTCGTTTTACATAAATGTAAAAAACCGGCCAAGTGTGATTCGGACTCGCACACGAAGGGTTCCGTACCATCATCTACGTACGGAACACCAAAAATTAAACATAAATAAACAATCACCAAGCCAAAAGGGAGATGCCACAGTTAGTATTTGGAAACTTTAACTGTGGTAGTGCCACGCAACAATTTCCGCTTTTGGTCTAATGGGCAGACTCGTCTGGTGTAGTACCACGACCACTGAACACCAGCGTTAAGTGGAAGTATTATACGTGCGTTTCGTCTGGTGAGTGTGAGTGGTAACCGGGGCCCAATTTAAAAATGTTGTCAAGTATTAAAGACTGTAGGGCCAGTATAATTGGTCGGCCAATATAAAACAGTGATCGGTCGGAGCGGCCTTTTATGTTATACAATTGTTATAAAAAAATATTATATATAATATTATACCAGATATGGTTTAATGTTTATTAGGTATAATTGTTATTGCTTGTATATTAAGCAGTGCTGCTAGTGGATTGTAACACAAGGCATCTGCAAGCACACTTAGATTTTGTATTCCAAGGGCGAGGTTATTCACTTGACATTAGCCGTGTGGCGGCAATAATTCCAAGTGTTCGTTCAATATAATTATATTAATGTGGAGTTAGTATATCTTTTTTCCATGCTACTAACCCACAGGCGAACCACCGGCTCGTTTGACAACTTTTTAGAAAAAAAAAATCAATACTGGCGTCGGACGCAATAACTAATAACGCGCTAACGACTGTTAAATGAAAACCTACCCACGCCGTACGTAATCTAAAAAAGTTCTTAGTTATTTGCGTTCTTTAAAGAGTTTGAGACTTCGCGCTTTGGAAAACAGAAAAGTAATAAATTTGCAGTGCAACAGCGTGTTTTTATTATTATATTTAAGTTTTAGACTGTGGCGAAACATTGTAATTTAATATTATAGTCGAACGCCTCGCGCCTTACATTTTGCAGTGCATTAAACTTTTGTCATATGCATATCTTAAGACAAACACTGTCTATAAGTGGACCAAGTGCCTCAGGCAT